CCACCCACCCCTCACTCACTCACACCCACCCACCCACCCACCCCTCACTCACTCACACCCACCCACCCACCCACCCCTCACTCACTCACACCCACCCACCACCCACCCCTCACTCACTCACACCCACCCACCCACCCACCCCTCACTCACTCACACCCACCCACCCACCCACCCCTCACTCACTCACACCCACCCACCCACCCACCCCTCACTCACTCACACCCACCCACCCACCCACCCCTCACTCACTCACACCCACCCACCCACCCACCCCTCACTCACTCACACCCACCCACCCACCCACCCCTCACTCACTCACACCCACCCACCCACCCACCCCTCACTCACTCACACCCACCCACCCACCCACCCCTCACTCACTCACACCCACCCACCCACCCACCCCTCACTCACTCACACCCACCCACCCACCCACCCCTCACTCACTCACACCCACCCACCCACCCACCCCTCACTCACACCCACCCACCCACCCACCCCTCACTCACACCCACCCACCCACCCCTCACTCACCCACCCACACACCCACCACTCGCTCACTCACTCACACCCACCCCTCACTCACACCCACCCACCCACCACTCGCTCACTCACTCACTCACACCCACCCACCCCTCACTCACTCACTCACACCTACCCACCCACCCCTCACTCACTCACACCCACCCACCCCTCACACACACACACCCACCCACCGCATAAAGCGAATTAACGGTCGAAATAGGTTCGCTGCATGTACGCGAAATCGCACGAATTGACCCCCGCATAAAGCGAGGGAAATCTGTAAACTAATTGAAAACAAACAACAACAATCAATGCACCAAATCATCACCACCCCCTAGATCCACTCCGCCCAGACGCACGCAGGGTCGTCTCCAGTTAGAATCGGACGACAGCGACAGTCAAATGAGCAGTGGTGGAGGGGAGGGGGCGACCCAAAATCGACAAGACGTGTGGCGGCATTCAGTGCGCACTCGAGCCCTCAGCCTCGCGTTCTTCGCTCATTTTCAGAGGGGGTGAGTGAGGGGGCACTTTCGCCGCTAAGATACATCGTCAGTGTTAGGGCCGCCACACATTTGAAGCCATTGGGGGTTTGACAGCAGCACGATGATGATGATGGGGGTGTTTTCACTTGTTGTGTATTGTCGTGGGGGGGGGGGGGGGGGGGGGGGTGCACGTCAGGGGCCGCACTAAAGGTCCCCAGGGGCCGCCAGTAGCCCCTGGGGGGCCTTGCAATGAAGAGCATTGCACCCATGGCATTGCGAGGCAGCGCTGCCGGACTAAACTTCCCTGTAACCCAGCACGTCTCGAGGCGGTTCCCAGACGTTCGTGAACCTCCCTCGCGGCCACCCGTGGGCGTCGTGGTCACAATCTTCCTGCTTTATGACCAGGGTATGATGGCAGTACAGCAAGTAGATTGATTTCAATCTGTACGGGGATTGGGTGTCCCCCCCATCCCCCACTGTGCACGCGTGGGGTTTTCCTCCCATGTGTATAAACAATAATTAATCGAGTGGGATAAGCATTCCGTTACAGGACCACAGAGCTCGGGCAATTGTTGTAGATTTGGGTGCGTCTTACTTTGCAGAGCGTCTTACAATCCAGAAACTTCGCAGCACCTCGGATTAGCATGGTTGGATACGTACGGTGCGAAAGAAGTTCAACATACATTCATGAAATAACTATTGCCCGTTCTCCAACTCAGCCAATGATGTGGATTTGTGAAACTCCCGTCAACTAAATCCGAGTCTACACGCCACCCTGTGAGTATATTTGTCTCCCTGTGAGAATGTGTATCTATGTGAATATATGGCTGTGTAATTCATTGTTATTCGGGCCGAGACCATGGACTCGCTACCACCTGAGAAATGGGATGAAAAAATCACAACTTTTGTCTAAGTCTACGGGTCTCGGTGTGAGTGAATGGGCATCGATGCGAGTCAATGCGTTTCCTTGCGAGCCTATTGCGTCTCTGTGTGAATCAGCGGTGGAAGGGCTTATACCATAAACTCAGCTGACACCCAGATTCAAACCCAGCATCTCAGCTGTGCGTCGGCTTAGCGCTTAAACCTCCCGAGTTAAGCGACCACTTGCGCGGTGTTGTTTTAAAAAGAGCGATGTCACGGCACGCATATGGCTTTGGAGTAGAGAGATAAAGAGCGATAAAAGAGACCTTCTTTCGTCTGAGCGCAGCCCAGCGAAGATTTTCTTCCCAGGGAGCAGTCTCTCTCTCAAGGTCCAGCCAATTAAAAATACCCAGCAGAGAAAAACTAAAATTGCTTTGCAGAGCAAAAAGGGGGCGGGGGTTCACCACCACCCCCACTCATTTACTAACCCCTAGGGTCCTCTTTAGTTTCGCTACGTTGATTCAAAGTTATTCTTTAAATAGCCTCGTGGTGCGCGTGCGCGCGCGCGAGAGAGAGAGAGATCCACACTGGGGTTTCCCGATGAAAACGCGAGGCTCCAACTCTGTCGCGGTGACCACTGTGGAGTTACATGTCAGACTCTTGGTCATCTCCGCCATGGAACCCCCTCCGGGATTTCCCTCACTCGCGCCACGTGCTCAACGCGATCGCCCCCCAAAACGATCGCCCCCCAAACCGACCGCCCCCCAAACCGATCGCCCCCCAAACCGACCGTCCCGTTCCCCAATCACACAGCGGGCGGAACCAAACCATGACACGGACTTGAATTAAATAAAATTCGACATCTCCCCCAATGACAAAGCAAAACAAAGATCCCCCGTGTAGCCTTAACATACTTTTGGGGCAAGTGCTGTTAGCGACCACCTATGAAGGCCGGCACGGCACGAGGGGGTGGGTGGCTAACACCACGCCCGACCGCCTTTGTCTCCCTAGTGGCGATGTTTACGCACCACGTACTCATTTAAGGCTGAGTCGACCTAGGGGAGGCCGAGGACCGGTTCAGATAACTGTCACCGGTGTTGGTCTTGAGGGAGAATCAATCTCTGGTCGCCGGGTTTGTAGCGCAGCGCGCTAATCTCTACACGACCGCTCCAAACAAATCCCCGCGCATTGCACGTGTGTGTGTGTCTATGTGTGCCAATGCGCGTGTTTCCACGTGCGCCGATTAATGTTGACTGGAGGCTTCGAGAAAAAGCCTTGGGAGAGTGGAGCGACATGAGAGGAGAGAGGTAGGAGAGTGCGTGGAGGGGAGGGGAGTGAGAGGGGAGAGGTAGGAGAGTGCGTGGAGGGGAGGGGAGTGAGATGAGAGGTAGGAGAGTGCGTGGAGGGGAGGGGAGTGAGATGAGAGGTAGGAGAGTGCGTGGAGGGGAGGGGAGTGAGATGAGAGGTAGGAGAGTGCGTGGAGGGGAGTAGAGTGAGATGAGAAGGGAGAGGTAGGAGAGTGCGTGGAGGGGAGGGGAGGGGAGTGAGATGATTGGGGAGAGGTAGGAGAGTGCGTGCAGTGAGATGAGAGGGGAGAGGTAGGAGAGTGCGTGGAGGGGAGTAGAGTGAGATGAGAGGGGAGGGGTAGGAGAGTGGGTGGAGGGGAGGGGAGCGAGATGAGGGGAGAGGTGGGAGAGTGCGTGGAGGGGAGTAGAGTGAACGAGGAGACGCGTGTAGGGGTAAATCCACGTGGAAAATAAATACAAATGTTTAAATATTTAATTCTAGCTACGCATGCGAGCAATCAGGGACCCCCACAAGCTTTTCGTGACCTTCCCCCCCCCCCCCCGAGACCCTCAAATTCCCAGGCAATCGCTGCGCGGCGGTAGAGCGAAGCAGGAGGAGGAGGTCGCTGGTGCCGCTAATAATGGAGACGCGGGGGTCATGTTTCTCTGCCGAGCGGGCCGAGCGAGATCTAACGCAATTGCGTCGGTAATCGGACCCTTATTAGCTGCAGATGCTACATCTGATGGCGTGTGTGTACGCGATGTTGCCGTTGTTGTGCTTTGTTTGGCAGAGCGGCGACGGGGCCGTTACTCGATCCCCGCGACGGGCCCGGCGCACGCGCATACGCGCGTGCACGTGCACATGGGCACACGCGCGTGCACATGGGCACACGCGCGCCAACATACATGTGCACCAACGCTCGTGTCCATGTCTTTGTACCGATGTAGGTGCGAACCCACACCATGTATACCCATGTACATGTGTACCCGTGCTAGCGCTCAGGGCTGTGCCAATGTGGTGTAGCCAAGCATCTGTCCGTGCGCTTACCAATGCGTCGGCATGTAGCCGTGCATGTCCCACACACTGTACGTCACTTCGACCAGTGTGTGCCAGTACGTATGTGCATGTGCCCACGCGTCTGTACCCGTGGTTCTCGCTAACAATACTTGCCCCAACAGTCTGTTAACGATTATACTGGGAATCTTTGTCTTTGTACCCGCGCCGGGTACCAATATGTGCGTGTACCCGCGCCGTGTACCCGCGCCGTGTACCCGCGCCGTGTACCCGCGCCGTGTACCCGCGCCGTGTACCCGCGCCGTGTACCCGCGCCGTGTACCCGCGCCGTGTACCCGCGCCGTGTACCCGCGCCGTGTACCCGCGCCGTGTACCCGCGCCGTGTACCCGCGCCGTGTACCCGCGCCGTGTACCCGCGCCGTGTACCCGCGCCGTGTACCCGCGCCGTGTACCCGCGCCGTGTACCCGCGCCGTGTACCCGCGCCGTGTACCCGCGCCGTGTACCCGCGCCGTGTACCCGCGCCGTGTACCCGCGCCGTGTACCCGCGCCGTGTACCCGCGCCGTGTACCCGCGCCGTGTACCCGCGCCGTGTACCCGACGCCGTGTACCGCGCCGTGTACCCGCGCCGTGTACCCGCGCCGTGTACCCGCGCCGTGTACCCGCGCCGTGTACCCGCGCCGTGTACCCGCGCCGTGTACCCGCGCCGTGTACCCGCGCCGTGTACCCGCGCCGTGTACCCGCGCCGTGTACCCGCGCCGTGTACCCGCGCCGTGTACCCGCGCCGTGTACCCGCGCCGTGTACCCGCGCCGTGTACCCGCGCTTGCCGCACCGTGCTCGCGTGCAGCCAGCCGAGCAGCGCCCTCACGGTGCCTGGGGGCAGCTGCCTGCGGAGGCCCTCGCGCTCCTCCTGGCTGCCCAGCCGCTCGAGCCGCTGGCAGAGCTCCTCCGTGAGGTGCACCACCTGCAGCCCGTCCCACGGCGCCTCGCCGCCGCCGCCGTCGTTCCTGCTCGCCAGCGCCCAGCTGCCGTGGCCGCCCGGCGCCCCCACCTCCGTCTCTTTGGAGTCTGGCGACAGTCGGAATTGTGGGGGGCCTCGACAGTGACCCGGTGGATTGGAGGATTGTACTCATCATCATTATAGTCATCATCGTCATCATCATCATCATCATCGCCATCGTCGTCATCATCATCATCATCGTAATCCTCATCGCCATCATCCGAAATTTCTCATCTAAACCGCGCCTACCATTCAGGGCAGTTGGAGGCGCAACGAACGAAGGGGATTCTTTGAAATAATATTTCAGCAAGGAAGTGAGTCCAGACGACCAAAAGAACACAGCGTAGACAAGATGAACAGGCAACGCACACGAGGATAAAGAAAGGTGACGGGCGCAGCCGAGCAGGAGACCTCTCGCTGTGCTGGCCACGTCGTTACCGATGTCTATTCCAATCCATCTCAGAACTAACATCTTCAATGGATTCATTGCGGTTCTATTTCATATATTCGCGTGGACACAATCCGCTGACCAATTCCTCATTTCTCCCGTGCTCTAATTTTAATCCGACAGCTCTATCAGTAGAACTTCATCTACAGCTCGTAAAGGAAGAACACTTAGAATTAATTTTGCTATATATAAAAAGGCCCGGCGTTGTGTACTAATAATGATGATGATGGTGTCTGAATTCTAGAGACGTTCCCCTTTTACTCCCGTCGCGACTCGGAGAGAGCGTGAGGTGCGATCGGCGCTTTCAAGCCTCGCATCGCATTCCAACGCATTTTGGAAGGGCGCGCCCCCAGTGGCAGCTGCCCCTGCGTAGCTCTCCGACAGCGCCGCGGTTCCTTGAAGCGAACCGCGAGCGGCGGCCGCGTCCTCGCGCGCGGCACGGCGCGGTCGAGGAGCCGCGCGCCACTGCTGCGCTGTCTGTCGCTGGGACGTCCACACCCCTCGCCCACCTCACCTCGATCAGTGTCAGAGTTTTGTATGAAGCTAAAGGGGTAAAGGCGCAGCCCTGCAATTGCTCGCTCACGCCACTGTTCCAATGAGCTCCTTCTAGAGCAGTGGTTCTTCTTCTTCTTCTTAATCTGGGGTGCACGCTACACCCCCTGGGGATGCGAGATGCCCTTTTTGGGGGTGCGAGACATGGCCAGATTAAATTTGAAGGTAAATCATCGGAACAAATTAAGCACGGGCACGTCCGTAACAACTTACTTTGTTTCAAACCTTGTGTAGGTATTAGCATTATATAAAAAAAAAAATACGATTGAGAACCAAAGGGGTGCAAGGCTGCAGTCAAGGTTAAGCACCACTGCTCTAGAGGGCATCTGGCCTACTCCTCCATGCGGGACAGACGTTTTAGTAGAGGTGGGAGCAAGCCACGCGTTGCCCCCACCACTCTCGAGCTGTTCCCGACGAGTCGCCTCTAACACGCAGCCACTGCGTTAGTGCGTTTCCATGAGTGATTGTTGAACCGGGTTTCCCCCCCCCCCCCCCCCCCACGTGACAGCGATCGCCGGTGAAGCCCGTTTACAAACTGCCCCCAACGCCTCCATGTGCACGTTTACAGGAGACGGCACGCGCATCACTCGCGTCGCCGATAACAATTAACAGACGTTACGGGAACGCGGTGCTCTGATGGTCGGCACGCTGGCATGCAACCCAGATGATGTCGGTTCGATTCCAACTCACGGCGCGGCATTTGGAAACAAAACCCGCACCTCACCGGACCACCTAGGAAGGATAACCGAACGCACCGCAGTTGTAGGAGTCGGTCGGCAGATGGATGTGTGGTGGGGTCAAGTGTGGGTTACTCAGACCTCCTCCAAGACGTCTGGGCCAGCGTCGAAGAGCATCCGTATAGCCCTTCGTTGGAAATTCAACTTTCTTATGACAGTGGCAAGTCCATTGAAAGGACAACCACTGATGATTTTCCCAATAAGTGTTTTTTTTATTTTAGCGACCCTGGATGGATGATGGCCCGAGTCGATCCCAGACACAGATTTGAACTGGGAACGTGAAGCCGAGCTGCTACACGTCTCAAAAGTGTTTTCGTCCATTCCCCTAATATCCGCTAGTCCATTACAGATGATGCACAGCAAGTCCTAATATAATTATCCGTGCATCGATTCGTTTTCTCTCTACTGCTGCTCCGTGGGTTCTCGTGGTCGTGCTTTTGTCCAGCTCCCCCGCCCCACCCCACCCCTCCCCCCACCGCGTGTCGTTCCACACGATGTCCGACGTTTCGCTCCTCGTGTCGGCAGCTTCTAATTCAAGTAACAATCGGATCTACCAATAGCGAGCCCCCGCATGTCCACGCGCGCGCACGAAAAACAAAAACAAAAAACCTCAACCGCAAAAAATGTCACCACGAGTGGCGTGGCGAGGATAGTGGACGGCGCGCTGGTACTGCGAACGTCTTGGATCGTACGGCACCCCTGCCCTGGGACCCCTCCGTCCCCCTACCCCCCGCCACAAAGGGTGTTGTGGTGGCGGCGGTGGCGGCGGTGGCACCTGCGGCACCTGCTACGATGCCGTCCATCTGTTCCAGAGCCGCGGCGTGCAGAAGGGTGCCCCCTCCATCCATCACTTCACCCGCCGTGGTCCAGCCACCTGCAGTGAACACACGCAGCGCCCCGGCTCGCGGTGCTTGCGGCACGGCATCGTCATCATCGACGGACATGTTTGATCCACTGCTGGTTGAAGGACTCACCGAGCGAGCCGTCGATATGAGTCTTGTTGCGCCGTCCCGCGACGCAACCCAGTCCCTGTAGCGCCTGCGCGCGAGACGATTGCATCGCTCCATCTCCGCAGTGCACGGGATCTCGGGATAGTTCCTTGCATCGGAGACCATTATTCGAACCGAGCTTGCGGCTTTGCTAGGTTGACTCGGCCCACATGGGTACCTGGTGCGATGTAGAAACATCGCCACTGCGGGGCCACGTGGTGCTCGACTCCCACCCCCCTCGCGTGCCGTGCCGGCATTCAAAAGGAGCTCGCTAACAGCACTCGCTCCTCCAGCCACGATTCTGCTTCACCGGGGGATCGTTGTATGTGTGTGTGCAGGTTTGTGATTATGCATCGGTGTGTATGTGTGCAGGTTTGTGATTATGCATCGGTGTGTGTGTGCAGGTTTGTGATTATGCATCGGTGTGTGTGTGCAGGTTTGTGATTATGCATCGGTGTGTGTGTGTGTGCAGGTTTGTGATTATGCATCGGTGTGTACGAATCTGATGATGAAGCCACGACGATATCCACTTAAAATGTCTCCATGGATGACTCCCGCTGCCGTCCAGAACACGGCCATCGTCATCTTACTGCTGCTGTACATCAGCAGCAGAGTTCAATCTGCACCGACTTTTAAAAGAGACGAGACACTAAAGCCACCACCCCCGCATCTTCCTGAAAGCCGCTGCCTCTTCAAGGCCCCTCCCACCACATCGCTCTCCTGGCATCCAAGTGCCACCTAGCTTGGCTCCACACCTCGAAGTCACGGTCACTGTGATGTCAGTGACATATCGGGCGCCTTACTCATCGCACAATCGTCTTCGTCGTTCTGTAGTATTATTATCGTCACCTGAGACAGGAGAATGGGGGGGGGGGTTGTGGTCTCATAAACGCGGACCCACAGGGGGCACGACCCTAGCGAGCGCGCCCTGCCCTCTGCATCATTAACCGCGCAGTAACTCGAACGTGAATCTCGCCGCGTGACTGCGTTACATAAACGCAGTCGCGTGTTTCTCCACGCCTGCCATGGAAATAACACAAAATAACCACGCAATAAAGCGCACGCGAACTGTAGATGACAAGCTATGCGATGGGGGGGGGGGGGGGTGGAACTCGGGTTTCTAGACACCCTTGTCCATCACAGGTCGAACGGGGGAGGACATACCTCGTCGCTTAGAGAATACATTTCAACAGAACACAATATCCAACATATGATCTCGGCACAAATTAATTCCTAGCCACTCGAACACAGAATGCCAATAATCATTACCAAACATTTTTGCCCGGGTCAAACCGGGACGGGTGGCTATCGTCGTGCAGGTGGTGGTGCAGTGGTTAGCGAGCTGTACAATGAACTCCAGAAATCCGAGTTGGATTCCCGGCCACGGCTGACATCAGTGGCGAGTAATATCTTGACTCGGTCCTACCTTGCCCGATACGCTTCACCAAACCGCACTGACCAGCGTGGTGAAGTATGGTCAAACAACCACCACGACGCAGAGATGCCTTCGTCCAGGAGCGGATTAACAAAGGAGGACTGTGACAGTGACTACAACTATTATTATTACTGACGCCCTGCTCACTGTTACAACTTGGCAAGACCAAAGTGCGCTGTGCTAATATTAGTTCAGAGATATGCCGGGGTCTACTGTTCCTAGCTTTCCTCTGCATTTTCAGTAATGTGCCGATACAGTCACTAGACGCAGTACTAACGGGTCACCGTCAGCTCTCCACTGCTGGATGAAGTTCCCCCACCTCTCTTAAGCCACCGCTTGATCTCGTGGGTTCATCTCTGCGGCGGTGGGCATCCTCCGAGACGCGTTCTTATCACCGGGGCTCCTCACCGCCCCTGGACCACACCAGCAGCCAAGATCAAGAACCTCATTCTACGCGGCCACGCGGCCACCAAAGCGTCAACCGGAATAGATTTTCACGACTGGATTGGTCGCCAAGAATCAAATGTTATTTTCAGGTTTGTTTTGTGCGTTAAATTATTTTTTTACGCACATCATTTTGCAGATGGTTATATTTCAGGCCAATGAAGCAAAATATAGCCATAATGATCATCATTGATACCATCAAACATCCCTTGCCATTAATTTCTTTACAACGGCTTGGATTCGTTTGTCGTCCTTCTCCCGCACCTCCAATTAGCACTGTTGGCTACGTACGGTCCGAAACAAATTCATAGATATCGGGACAACGGTGGTACTCGCATATCAATACAGAAACCAACCCTCGACATATTCCTCAATTAATATGTGACGTTTCAGGCAATGGCCCTGTTTCATATTACAAAGGCCAGAAAGATAAGTTAAAAGTTGGAGAATGCAATTCACACCACGAGGCCTGATGAGAAAAAAACAATCGTATCAAAGTTCATTAATCTGAACAGGATTTGTTTCAGTCTTACATTTTACGATTTGTCGGTGCATGGACAATGTTTTTGGTTCAGGCGATCCACGAACTTGTGTGGTGCCAATACAACCAGCGAGGGTACAAACGAGGCAGTCAAAACAAGATGGGGAAAAAAACCCATCGAACCGTGGGTAGGGTGTAGGGTCAGTTGCAAGGGGAGTGAACTATCACAAAGACAAAGATCCCCCGTATAGGCTTCGACAGACTGTTGGGGCAAGCGCTGTAAAACTTTTGAAAGCCGGACCGGCACACGAGGGGGTGGGTGACCAGCACCACACCCGGCCGCCTTTGAGAGGTTTACACAGCACACCAGGTTACTCATTCGTAGCAGAGTCGACCTAGGGGAGGCCCAGGATCGGTTCGGATAATCGTCACTGGTGTTGGCCGTGAGCAGGAATTTAACTCGGGTCGGCGCATTCGTAGCGTTAACCACTGCGCCACCGCTCTCCTGAACTGTCACAGGCCAACACACACACACACACAAACCTACAGCCCACACACGGCAAGCTGCGACCTCTCGGGTGCGTTTTCAAGTTCATTCGCCGATGACCGGTCGGACCTTCCGTGGTCTCACCTCTAGGACGAGTGTCAGTCTCACACGACAACGGCCCTCCGGTGGGGTCTCCCGTGTCTTCACGATCCCTGGCGGACGGGTGGTCGGTCTTGCATAGCAATGCGCGCGTGTCTGTGGAGAGAGAGAGACAGACGCTAGCACGCCGCTGGACTTTACACCGCTAACTGCCCCTTCACCCCCTCGGGACGGCACCGCCCGCTGTCGCCTTCTCTCTCTCTCGCCCTCTCAGCCTGGGACGTTCATAACACCGCGGCAGCTATTTTAGTTTCGCACACTTCATTAACCTCATTTAGTTTCGTTTTATTTCATCGCAGTTAGCGGAGTGGGTTTGTGGGGCAAGAGGGCTGCACGTGGAGGGTGAGGATGTGTGTGTGTGTGTGTACCGAGCTATCCATTTGGTAAAACAAATACAAAAATATGTATTGGAAAGAACGGGCCTACCGTGGTGGAGGAAAGGGTCAGGGGGTCACGGCGCCGATTCCGGCAACCGCCGAGAGCCTGGGTTCAAAGCCAGGCGGCCGCGCGTGATTGGCTGGGCGAGATGATAGCGAAATTGCGCGCGGCTGCCTGTAACCCGGCACTGTGGATGCAGCAGCGAAGGTTGATGGAGGGTTGGTGAATCACCACACACAGGAGGTCAAACTCCCTTCTCGTGGACATCTATTAGGGAGGAGCCGTACCCTGGCTCGCCAGAAGGCCAGACATCAAAACATGTGGACTCCATCTGCTCCCTCTGCATGGGATAGAGCGTTGCTCCCCTTCTCACGAGTGGATTATCCGAGGTGTCGGTTTTTTGTCCACGTAAACGACTCGTTAATTTGGCCAATAACGCCTGATAAGGGGACAGCGGAGCTTGGGCAAGTGTTGGTGGCGTTGGCTTTTACTATTCGGCTGCTGCCCTTCTCGCTTATCCGTGGCTCCTCCTCGTAGCGCCTCCCCGAGTCGTCCTCTCGACGACGGCGAGATGCGGATTGCGTGCGGCGGCAGTGGCGCCGCGTTACGAGTTGACACAATCACGATTGCTAACGACGCATTGCGCGACACCTCCACATCTGCCTCTCAACACTGCCCGCTGTGACCACGCACGGAGCACAGCCCGTAGTCGCCACTGCTGGACGAGGACCTCCCCCCCCCCTCCCCATGCCTTTGACCATACTTCACCACGCTGGTCAATGCAAGTATGTAACGCGTAACTGCCCTGCGTTGCAATTCCACATCAGCAGGCACAAACCCTCAGGTGAGCTATTGCTTGCCTCCTCTCCAGAGTGTCCAACTCCTCTCTCCTGGCCTCAGGCCCGTGTCCACTCGTCTGCCGGTGGCACGTGACAGACAGCGTCCCCACTTCTCAGCCTCGTGTCGCAGCCCAACGTCCCATCGAGCCGTCACGGGAGGCGGACGCCGCTCGATCGCCACGCGCCACCTTCCATTGCTCGCACCTGGGCCTCGTGTCGCACCAGGATCTTGAATCTCCAATGGTCGCGCACACCTCGGTCGAGTGGACGTCCAGTGTCGCTCGCCCCTGGTCCCAGAAGGCTGTGGTATTCATTCCCCCGACAACGACGAAATATTCCCTTCACCATTCCCCTCACACGCAGTCAGTCACCATTCAAATCGCCACCTGTTACCCTCTTTAAACTATTCATGCCTCAGGTGGTCTCACACAACCTACTATGACTATTCGTAACAAACAGAGCCACTGGTCCCCTTCACGGGTCGAAGATATGCGCCGTGCTGCCCCTTCAAAATAAACGTTTTACCACTGCATAGTCTTAACATAATACTTTGTGGTGCAGAAATACTCACACCGGCAAAATTGGCTTCCACGTCAGCGTGCCCCTGGGTCTTTTGGTCTGCTTGGCTCCCTCTCGACCGAACCATGCTTCAGTGTTTAGCCATCATTAGCCATCAAATACAGATCTGGGAGTGGCCTTCGTTAAATAGGGGGTGCAATATTGCATAGTTTTTTGCATGGCTTTAATTGGAAATGCACGCACACACCAACGCTAATTCGACTTCCACTGCACCCACTCCTCTTCTCGCATTGCAAGAGCACGCCCATTGGGACAGCAATCAGCACCGGCCATGAACTCCCCACTGTTAAACTCGATTACAATCAGGCTGAAGTCTCGCGCGGAGAAATTCCTCTCCACCCCCCCCCCCCCCCGCCCTGTTCCCATTGTACTCAGTTATCATCTCTGCGTCGTCTCTACAACACCAGCTCCACAACTTAACATGTCTGATATGGCATCATTCACCTCGTTACAAAGAGTAAATGGGATTGCACGTGCAGTTGGAAAACGGCACATGTTTGGGCAAAGGAGTAAATTGTGAATAAAGAAGGTGCATTGCCTGAAACGTCGGCTGATATATATTAGAGCAGTTGTCATTGAAGAGTGTGTTGAGTTTGTTGTTGTGGTTGTTTGTATGCGCCATATGCCAACGCGGTATAACCAACTTGTTTTTGTTACATTTGAATGAAAGCGATTTTTGGGGTTTCCCGTGCTGCACCACTGCCACCTCGCGTCTTGCGAGAAAATCAACTCCATGCGCTAGTCGTTCTGGTCCAACGAATCTTTTGCAGCGGAACCACGTGGTTGTGATTTCCCAGGTTGAACCACGTGGTTGTGATATCCCAGGTTCAACCACGTGGTTGTGATAGCCCAGGTTCAACCACGTGGTTGTGATAGCCCAGGTTCAACCACGTGGTTGTGATAGCCCAGGCTCAAACACGTGGTTGTGATAGCCCAGGTTGGACCACGTGGTTGTGATAGCCCAGGTTGGACCACGTGGTTGTGATTTCATAGGTTGAACCACGTGGTTGTGATAGCCCAGGTTCAAACACGTGGTTGTGATAGCCCAGGTTGAAGCACGTGGTTGTGATAGCCCAGGTTCAAACACGTGGTTGTGATAGCCCAGGTTGAAGCACGTGGTTATGACAGGCCAGGTGAACAACATGGCCATAACGTATGTCCATCTGCATGTATGTGTGTTTGTGCGTGTATAGCGGTAATGTAATGGGGAGGGGTGGGGTGAGGAAATTGGGGCAGTAGTGCAGTGGTTAGCGCGCCACGCTACAAACCCGGTGATCCGGGTTCGATTCCCGCTGACAGCCAACACCATTGACGATTATCTGAACAGGTCCTGAGCCTCCCTTACGTCAAATCAGTACCTGGCGCGGTGCTTAAACTTCGCCACAAGGGAAACAAGGCGTGGTGCTGGCCACCCACACCTCGTGTGCCGTTCCGGCCTTCATAGGTGCTCACTAACAGCACTTTCCCCAACAGTTTGTTAAGACTATACGGGGGATCTTTGCCTTTGTGTATATACATTTCACGTGGTCTCAAACTGCACCTAGCCTGAGACAAGAGCCACTTATATGGCAGTGTAAATGTGCGTGTATATATACGTGAGAGTGCGAACAGCACTTGACCTAACAGCCTGTGTGGGCTACACTGGAGATACGTTCCTGTGTAGGTGTGTTTGTTTGTGTGTACGCGCACTGGAGCAATGGGACCAGTTCACGCGGTCAAGTGAGATGTGGGGGATGGCGTCGTGAGGCTTTCATCCAGCTGCGGACAGAACGTGGCTGTCGATGATGACGATTGTGATTGGGTAACTGGAGAATCGCGATGCCCTGTGCATCACACGCGTGGCGATGCATTGATGCTGTCGCGGTGTAACGCTCAGCACGCTGAACAGAGGTCGCCGGTTCAATCTCACCGCGTTGCAGCTGAAACTGTGAGCACGTCTCTTAAATATCGCCCCCACCCCCGCCTCTCTCCAAAGGGTGTGTATACTACAACCTCTTCCTATACATACATGTTCAACTTATTTAGCACCGTACGTAGCCAACCGTAGCCAACCGTACTAATCGCTAAGCGTGGAAGAGTAGCGACAATTTACCCTTCGAGTGGAGGATCACATCGCGTCCTCTAAGCTCTCGCGAGCGAGAAATTGCAGGGCTGTGCCTTTACCTCTGAGCCAACATGTGGCGGCGATTCCTGCTCTAAATTTGAAGAGAACTTCTCGCGACGTCTGTCTAGAGAGAAGACGATCACTCATACGACCCCGCGGGTTAGCAACGACACATACACACCCTCACGCGCGCACACACACACCCCATCGGACCCTCTGCGCAAATATAAACAAACAACACGATTGGATCTTTTGAAATTAACTGGCAGTGACAGGATCGCTCCTGCTCCCGGATGTATATCGGCTTACGTCTTTGAATAAAAACCTGGGCTGGGGCAGCGCACAGGGAGGGATGGTTTAACAACGAGTCGCTGTCGACTTGTAGATGTTGTGGGTTTACTCTGCAACACACAACCGGTGTGCTGAACTAGTCACGAATTGGCACGTTTTTGTTTACGTGACAAAACCTTGCTAATTGGCTGTGTCGGGTGGTGGCGGGTTTAACGACACATTTATATTTATGCGATCTAACCTCCCCCAAAAAATCCCACCTGATTTTGGAGAGGGAGGGATGATGGCCTGACGTCACTCATCAACGAGTGCAGGCGCTGGGTGGATTATTATAGTCATTATCAGTAATATTTCGATTTAAAGCTTTCGTGACTGCAAGGATTCATCTTCTTTGGTTCTTTCGGTAAAGTCACGTAGAATGAGAATAAAATAATAAATTGATAAAATAAAATAACACAATAATATTCTCACGACGTTTCGGCCACAACACAAGCGGCCTTCATCAGGTGAAGGGACGAGACTGTCTGACAGTCTGACAGTCTCGTCCCTTCACCTGATGAAGGCCGCTTGTGTTGTGGCCGAAACGTCGTGAGAATATTATTGTGTTATTTTATTTTATCAATTTATTATTTTATTCTCATTCTACGTGACTTTACCGAAAGAACCAAAGAAGATTATCAGTAATAATTAAATATAACAATTATTAATAATTATAATTTATATTATAATTATTATAATTACTATATCGCAGGATGGTAAGACGTGGCGACGGAGGCTTGGGGAAAAGCGCCACTTTACATTTGTATAAAGTGGCGCATTTCATCCGTATATTGCAACACACTAACGCCGTTGTATGTCAAGCAGGAAATGCACAGAGCCTGCAGGGTCCACTGCCAGAGCTAGGGGAGGTAAAGGCCACTTTAAGGAGGTGAGTTTTCAAGACAGGACTTAAAAATATATCCAGAGCTTTAGGCGCTGCATTGGCAACAACCCCAGAAAATGAGCCTTGACCTCGGAGTGCTTAGAAGCAGGAGATCTGAAGGTCTCAGGGACCTCGTTAGAGAGTGAACACGGATCAGCTCCTGTAGATATTGCGGGGCGCATCCAATGAGCGCCTTGTAGGTCAGCAGCAGGATCAGGAGCTGAATGCTCAATGACGAGAGAGCTTCGCGGGGAGAGCTTTAGAGGGCCCCGCGAACCTACAGAATGCTGCTCTGACGTGATGGTTTAATACAATGGAGGGCATTTGGCCTAGCCTTCTAATATTCCACGCTGAGCAGGCGTGTTAGAAGACGTATCACTATACCCACACTTTACCCCACCACACGCGACCAGCCGATCGTAGACTCATTTGGTTATTGTTTTCATTATTTAAAATTCATTATAAAAATATATAATTTTATTTTATTCTTTTTATCTTAATTTTCGATCTCCGTGACTTTACCGGAAGAACCAAGAATATGGTGTTACCCACTGCTACCGCTGGGTGGACAGAGACGGGTGGGGAGGGGTGGGGGTGTTTTAAAGAATCGTGTTCATTGCTTCCATTGTCGCGAGAGAGCGTTGAATCAACTCCTGGCAGTCCGCCAACAATGATGATGCAAAGCTGGCGTGGCTCTGCTGATGAGACGCTGAATGTCGAAACCGGTGCAGAGTTTTGCTTGCTTTTGAATCAATGCTGCTGCAATTATAAGCTCCCGGAAGGCCGCGGGACTGCTGGGATGTGTAGCCAGGTCGCTTCTGAAAAATAAGTTAATAGTTCAGTGGGCTTTACGTGGTAAGATTAAACATAAAAAAACATGAGTTTACTTCTACCCGTAGATATTTAAAGTTATTTGTTTACCTGTCCTATGCTTTACACTCATATCGTGTTTGTGTAATTGTTTGTTGTTGTTTGTTGTTGTAACGTTGTGGGTGGGGGTAACGTTGTTACAACAACAAAGGCTCGCCTACTGTTGTAACGTTTACACCCGAAACCCTACCGGACATGTGTGACAGAGAGCTTAACAGCTCACCGGATTCCTTCCGTGTGATTAAATAGATGCCATTGCGATTGTGCTTCTGGTGAAGGAGACGCATCGGGATGAATGAACCAACGTCGCCCGCATCACACGGGCAGACACCCCACGTGGCGCACCACGACCGCAGATCGCAACGCGAGGCCACGCGCTCCTGAATATTCATCAACCGCTGTCGGAGCATACCGCCGTAACCCTTTCTGCAGATCATTCAACCGCATTCACCCGAATGCATACGTGCAAGACTACTTTCACGGAATGTGTATATGTTTTATACTGATATTTTTTGGGGGGCATGCATTGCAAAGCGCAGACTTTAAAATCAACATCTTACACCGTCTCCAGCCAGTGAATATAGCCCAAGGGCTCGACACCCTGCGGCTCCGTAGCCGCGTGCGGTGGCTCTTTAAGGACTGGTGCTTCGTGACGTTCTTTATTAAACACCACCGCCGGTCTCGTATTCACCGCACATGGCATTGCGGCTCTTGAAATGTCGAAGTTTTTTTTTTGTACCGAATTCAAACAATAAATGTTCTCTTCTGGTTACTTTCGTTGCCGGCACCCTGTTATAGCAGCCCAGTGCGGCTATGAGACCCTGCCCGTGTGAGTTGAATTCCTGAACACGGCGGTCGACAGCAGGGCTTTGTTGGCCTGTGGTGTCAGAACCGGCCTTGATCACCGCACCACCACCTTCATCGCCACTTCACCAACCTGCACTGGCAGGAGTGGTGAAGTGGGGTCAAAGAAACCCACCGTGGCCCACGCGGTGTGGGGAGGGAATGCCCTCATCCAGCAGCAGATTAATATTCCACACGAGGTCACTGTAGGCTGAATGTGAAAGCTCGTGGTACAGTAGGCGAGCCTTAGCTCCGGGCTATGTTGAGTTTGAGACCCGGTCTCAGCGCTCAATTAAAACAACCGCAACGTGCAATCACGACGCAGATTTGCAAAGTTAAAGGCGCAGCGCTGCAATCGCAAGTTCGCTCCGCTGCTACCGGAAAAAAAAACGTCCACTCGAGGGAGCTCTAGAGGGTTATTTGGCCTACTCTTCCATACTGCTTAGAGGTGGGGCGGGGTCTGAGGAGGGGGCGTGGCGGGGTGATATTTTGGGTGGAGGGGGAGAGACCGGAGGGATTTGAGAGGAGTGAGGAAGGGACGGGCTCACAAGTGAGGTGCGATTGTGTCACTGCTATTATGGGTGGCGACTGGCGCTGTATGGAAATGAGGGCAGGTAAGCCTCACCTGGATTAGTATCGTGGGCGGTTCAACACACTCTGCCGTGACTCGTTACCTGTCAAACGAGTCGTTTACAGTAGGAAACTCACCGCGCGTATCGAAGTCTGCAGAGTAGAAAACGTCGTCCGTGGGTCGGACATCCAACTCGGATCGCCAGATTTAAAGAGGCACAGTGCGCTAACCACCGCACCACCGCTCCGACCAGAGTAAGCCAGCCTTTCTGTAAATTCACGCATTGTATTCTAAGGTGTAGTGCCTATGCACACGTCTCTATGTGTGTGTGTGTCTGTGTGTGTGTGAATGGTATGTCTGAGCAAGTCGACTCAAATGAGTACCCGGTGTGCGGTGTGTAAACATCGCCATGAAGGAGACAAAGGCGGCCGGGCGCGGTGCTTGCCACCCACACCGTCGTTTGCCGTTCTGTCCTTCATAGGTACTCGCTAACAGCACTTTCGCCAAAGGTCTGTTAAGGCTATACGGGGGTCTTTTGGCTATGTCTGTGGTGCTGTGCGTGTACGCTGTATATGCTGTGTACGTGCTGTGCGTGTACGCTGTATATGCTGTGTACGTGCTGTGCGTGTACGCTGTATCTGTTGTGTATGTGCTGTGCGTGTACGCTGTATCTGCTGTGTACGTGCTGTGCGTAAGCTGAGTGGGGAGCGAAGTGGTCAGCGCGCTGCTCGATGAACAGGGCGGTCCGAGTTCGATTTGCGCTCACGGCCAACATCAGTGGCGAGTGACATCTGAACCGGTCTTGGCGCCTCCGTCTCCCGCCACCTCCCCATCACCCCCCCCCCGCCGTCCCCACCCTTTCAACCTCCACCCCCCCTTCGACTCCTCTAGATCGACTCAGCCTCAAATCAGTTCAGTATCTGGTGTGGTTGTAAGCATCAACACTGGGGGATACAAGGGCGAACGAGTGAGGATGCCGGTGACCACATCACCCCTCTCCGTGCGCCGTGCTCGTGGCCTGAATAGATCGCTCGCTAAGCAACAGCCCTTGTCTGGACCCAGCAGTCTAAGAGACTCTATGGGCGCCGTCTCCCGTCTCTGCTGCTGCTGCAGCACGCGCGTGTAGTCTTAGATCCTGGCTCGTGTCAGCGTCTCAAGGCGTTCTGTGAAGAAAGCGCTCGGATGATTATCGCGCTGGTAATTACAAGACGCTTAATTTTCTTGGCTATAAATCCCTTAATTCAAACTCTCTCCCTTCTCTCTCTCTCTCGTCCCGTGTGTTCCCTTTACAAAGTTTATCTCCGCCAGAGCCGCCTGATAATTATATAAAAATCATTGCCTTGGCTTTTTGCCGTTACGTGAAGACGAGCTCTCTCCGTGCGAGTGTGGATCAAAAAGAAAGACGTGCGCACACTATACTGACTGCGACCTTCAGAACCACATTTGTCTCGCCGTATCTATCAATGCTGGTGAACTACCACGTGTCTATCGGCAAGGATTGTTTTCAACATTCAGCGTCTCATCAGCAACGTGAGTCTTCCTTGTACCAGAGCTGGTGAACTGCCAGATGTGTATAGGCAAGGGCCCTCTGTAGAAATGGGTCCAATGTATGGACGTTGATGTTCTTTCGTACCGTACGTAGCCAACCGTGCTAATCGCGTGAAGGAAGTCACTCATTTCCTCTGCTGAACTTTAGTCTAGCAGGGCACCACTGTTGAGATTAATTTGGAAATAACATCTGATAACCCAAAGTAATTTGTTTAATGGTTATTTTACAGAGTGTTGTCGTTCAAGCAAACTGCATCTCACAATCGCCGAGGAGCCACAGACAAAGTTGGAAGGCAGCGGCACCCAGGCGGTGATGAGCCAGCACGACTGACAATTGTCTAAGCTCTGCATTACTCTACATATTAATTTGTTATCGGCCAATTAATAAGTGCGTATACATGTGGTAGGCATCAGAAAGTAGCCACGTGTGCGAAGGGCAACACTCTATCCCATACAGATGTTACAGATGGAGATTAGTCCACACATTGCTGTACCGCTTTTTTGTTTCCTGGCGAGCCAGTGCATGGCAGCTCCTGGATCTCTTCGCGAAGAGAGTTTCACAACCCATCTGTATATAATCCACCAACCCTGACTGCTGCGTCCAAAGTGCTGGGTCATAGGCTGTCACGTGCAGCGTAGCCTCCACCCCCGGCTAAGGCCTGGATCTGCTGATAAGGTCCAAACGGGGGCGAGTCAGCAGCAGCACAGTGATTGGCTCACTAGACATCATGCACAAGACATTTCTAAAACGATCCTTGAACTTATTTTGGGCTTCCCCTTACACGAGTGCAGAACCTGGTGCGTAGACATGGGCACCGGGGAGACAAAGGCGTTCGGGTGCGGTTCTGGCCTTACTTAATAAGTGCTCGTCAACAGCCCTGACCACGAGAGGAGCCCACGCGGGCCACGTGGGCGACCACCAAACTCCGCCAGTGGCGTCCTGCGGCGCCACGCGGGGCCTCCCATAACAAATTTTCTCTGAATTATTCAGCGATTTGTCTGTTCATAAAACCCACTCATGACCCCCCACTGGGAAGAAGCATAAACAAACGAGACGACAAACTCCCACCCCCCCTCCCCCCCCCCCCAAAAAAAAAACAGGACAAGAAACAAATTTAAAATCACAACGATATTAATAATAGCGACAGCAGCAGGCAGCTGTGTCATCAACAGCCGCGCGATGATGGTAGCTACGCCGCACGTGGCTACGACTCACCCCTCGCTGTCGAGGCAACAACGAGGGGTTGGTGGATCACCGCACACGGATTATTGGGGAACTCCCTTCCGTCCCGTGGGCGTCGAGAGATGCCGTATCCCTGGCTCACCAGGACAAGGCGTTGCAGCGAAGTGGGGACTAATCACCAGCTGTTCCATTTGTACGGGGATAGAGTGTTGCCCCCTCGTGCAAGGCGTAGGTTTTCACCGGGTGCTCCGGTTTCCTCCTCCACATGCAAATAATAATGATAATAAGCACAACTCATGATTTATTGGCTGAAAACATTTTAAAATTAACACCCAATGTAGCAGCAGCAGCAGGAGGAGCAGCAGCAGGAGCAGCAGCAGCAGGAGCAGTAGCAGCAGCAGGAGCCGTCTGGACACGGATACTATGACTCCGTGCTGCTCTCCTGGATAAATAATCATATTGGTGATTAATTATCACAATTATTTAGTCACTGTAATTCGCGCATGGCGCACGTGGCATGGCTCTTGTTTCCCACAGGATGGAGTCGGATGCGAGCCGGATGCTGGCGGCTGCAATCCAGCAGGTGGATGGGATCATAGCAGGTACTTGTGGCCAGCGCCACACGTTCACGCAATCATTGAATCATACATTTGTGACTTTAATAATCCATTCATTCCTCCAGCAAGCCATCTATTCTTGAATCTAGTCATCAAACCATGCTCACATCCATCAATCCTAGCTTATATCCATCCATTCTTCTTCAATTCATCCATTCATAAATGAATGTATTTATTCATAAATCCATTAGTTAATAAATCTATGTGTTTATTCATACGTCCATATGTTTCTCAATATATCAATCTATCCATATCCTTGAATCCATCCATAAATACATCCGTCCATACATTTTTCTAGCTATCCATTAATTATTCCATATATCCATGAATTACTCCACCCAATTCATCATTCATCATTCCATTTCTCATCCTTCCCTCATTCATTTCCCGCTAATCTCATCCCACCATCAAGCCATCGAATCACGAATCCATGCATCCATTGGTCAATCTATCTGATTTATCCTCCCTCCATTCACAAACTCACCGTTTTCAAACGCCACCAAATTTGTGAATGACTTTCAGCATTGAACCGCCATCGATGAGATGCTGTTCTTTGTGCATTGTCTCTGCTCTGTCCAACGCTCTTCCCTCTCTGATCTCTTTTCTCCTGCCCCTCTCCATCTCTCCTCGGAAAGAACAAAAAACCCACCCACAAACACGTCCGTGCAACGTTGCTTCGGTTAAAATCGATGACTCCTCGTTTGACCAGTAGCATCCTCAACCGACCAGCTGGCTCAGCGACAGAGCAAGCGGCTCGCAGTCGGAAAGACGAGAGTTCAAATCCTGGTTAGGGAGGGTTGACTCAGCCCATCATCATCATCATCATCATCCCTTTGGGGTCGATAAAATAGACACCACTGTGTGGGGAAGTCAACCGCGGTTGTTTTGCGGATATACTCCCCCCCTCTCCCACGTCATATGAAGCGCCGTAAACAGGGGCTGAGCACCGATGCACCAATGCTGGTGTGAGCAGCACGAATTGTGCTTTCAGTTCCACTTCAATGGGCGAAGAGGGGGAGCGCAGAGGCGCAGAGAGCCGCGAATCACCGCGTGCCGCTGCCACTCGGAACACAGCAACGGGATATCTACCAACGTCTCGCTCTTCGGTGACAATTAGCGTTCATATTGACTCGTCCGCTTTGCGCATATACGTATCTACAAAAAACAGCAGCAGCAACAACAGCAACGAGACCCACACGAATACAAAACAAAGGATGAACTGCATTCCTCAACGGCCACGGACAGCACAGGCTGTGCCTGGCGTGCACGTGACGACGCCTCGTTAGCGCTAACGAGTGGCGTTAGAGGCAGGTGGTGGGGGGGGGGGACGAGCCACGGACACGGGGGCCAGCGACGCGCGGTCGGTGCGCACTACCAGAGACGCGGCGTTGAGGACGGGGGGGGGGGGGGACGAACATTAAGGAAAAATAAAAACTGTTGCTTTTCACAATTGCATACGAAAGTAGAAGTAGAAGAAGAAGTGTGTGGCGGGGGGGTCAGGCATTTGAAGTGCCCCCCCCCCCCCGCGGTCCCCGCAGGTAAGCCCATTAGTGCGCATTCCGCCGAGGAGAATGACATTTCAGCCCAGGGTGCATCACCGGGCTCGCCGTTTGTCTCGCGATGGAATTGCCCTGGGAGGAGAAGGAGCTGCTGCTGGCTGCTGCTGCTGGCTGCTGCTGGCTGCTGCTGCTGCTGCTGGCTGCTGCTGGCTGCTGCTGGCTGCTGCTGCTGCTGCTGGCTGCTGCTGGCTGCTGCTGCTGCTGGCTGCTGCTGCTGATGCGAATGGCCGCTGTGGCTTTGCTCAGATTTAATTGCTGCGACTGCGTCATCGATACCTCCCTCCCACCCTGCCTCTCCGAGGCAGTGTCTGTCCGTGCGCCTGCCGCTTGGGCGTCGTGAGAATTTTACCCGGAGAAGAGAGAGAGAGAAAAAAAAAGAGACGTAAATAAATATATATAAATATAACTAAATAACCTCGTCCCGCAAATGTGGCTCTGATTAGCGAGCGGCTGCCCAGCGAGCATTGAGTGCGGCTTCGTAATGATGCGAGCGCTATACACGGCTACACGAGACGACACGGACAAAGATCCCCCGTCTAGCCTTCAACAGGCTGTCGAGGCAAGTGCTGTTAGCGAGCGACTATGAAAGCGAGTACGGCACACGAGGGGGGGCGGGGGTGGTGTGGCCTCCACCACCACCACACCCGCCCCTCTTTGTCCCGCCAGTGCTGATGTTTACACGTTGCACCAGGTACTCGGTGAAGGCTGAGTCGACCTACACGAGACCCATCACCTGTTCAGACAATTGTCACTCGCGTTGGTGCCCGTGCGGCAGGAATCGAACACGGGTCGCCTGGTTCGTAGCGCAGCGCGCTAGCCACTGCACTACTGTCCTGCACATTCACACGCGCACGCGCACGCACGCACACGCGCACGCGCACGCACGCGCCCGTGTAATTAACGCTCAGCAACGAAAGCGCGCGACCGTGCGCTAGCTGTCATTGCGGGGCGCAATTAGCGAGCAGCCGGGATTTGAGCATCGACGCCAGCTCACAGGCCCAGTGAACGAGGACGGATGTGATGCTCACAAAAGTCCCGATTGCCCCATTAGTTACGTGTTTTGATTGAGCGCGCTACCCATTAAACATGCCACGTTGGGCCAACGTCGGACCGACGTTGGCCCAACGTCGGACCGACGTTGGGTCAACGTCAACCGACACTGGGCCAACGTTGGACCGACGTTGGGCCAACGTCACCCAACATTGAGACAACTATGGATAGACGTTGGCCCAACGTTGGACCGACGTTGGGCCAGCGTCAACCAACATTGTACTAACGTTGGACCGACGTTGGGGCAACGTCACCCAACATTGTGCCAACGTTGGACAGACGTTGGATCAATGCCTTCCAACGTAGGCCCAACGTTACATGTCATCAGAGCCCTTCGGGGGCGACAACCTTCGCGTCGTTCCTGACTGGCGCGAGGTCAATGCAGCACCAGGACTACACTCACCCACCACGCTATTATGATTATTATTATCATCAACATCGTCACCATCAGCCACCGTGTCCCGGCCATGCCCGCGTACTTTCTGGAAGAGTCAAAGCGCCGTCTCTAAGCGCGTGCGTTCTATAATTCACGCGTGCGTTCCCCCGGTCCCGTCTCTCTGTCGAATCCAAAGGCTTGCAACTCTTCGTGGCATTCTGCGCGTGCCTAAGCTCGTTTACTTCCTCGGTTCCTTTCACCCATGGTCGTACTTCCAATCCATGCGGCACGGCAGGTGGCACGCGCTCATTGAGAACTTGTTTTATTTTTCAAGGACGCATTGGGACGTCGTTTTCATTGTCGAGTTCAGCTGCCCAGAAGCACCACAACCCGCTCTCACCTGCCTTCTTATTCAATCGCTCATCTCGGTCATCCTCCCTTCTCTCGGCCCTTAGGTATACACGGGGACACTTAGTCTCTTAACAAGAATAATCGTAATGATTAAAATGCAATTCGCAGCGCGCACAACATTTCACAGATGTCAGCTACCGTGACTCCTGTGGCGGCTCACAAGCCAGGCGAAAAAATAAAACAGGTGGCGCCTTTAAGAAATAGTTGAGAGCCTCTGAGAAAGAGCTGGGGCATTTAAGAAGAGGGGGAGAGGGGCATTTAAGAAAGAGGAGGGGCCTCTGAGAAAGAGGAGGGAGGAGCCTTTAAGAAGGAGCTGGGTGGGGCCTTTAAGTGTCTCTTAAAAGTTGGTGTAGCCTGAACGCTGCTACTGCTGCTGCGAATGTGCAGTAGCAGTGGGATGACACGAGGCCGGGCAATGGCCATGGTCTCGGTTCTTGGTGCCGTGGCGAGATGTTAACTACCTCGCCTGGTTTATAGGAGGTGGTGGGTTCAATCTCGACCCTAACGCCTGCTGTATATGTCTAGTTTGCGTGTCTCTCTCCCCGTGGATTTTTCTGGCTTTTCCCTCCACATTTAGAAACATGCGTTTATATCAATTGGCTGCTATACATTTCGACATGATGAAAAGCCACTTCGTTGAGCTATCATTTGCGTAAGCCAGGACGCTTCTAAAAAAAAGAGCTACATAGTTCGAGCCTCACCTGGTCATAAAAAGAAATATAGAGCAGGAGGAGGGGGAAGGACGAGGAGGAGGTTGTGAGTCTCACAAATGACAAGACGCCGATAATACTCTCGGAATGAGCCGAGGTAAAAAGAAAAGACAATACAACAAACTATGATCATAGTTTTGGCAGAAGCCACTTGGCCCTCATTCTGATCGCGCCCTGTGAAGGCGGAACAAGATAGACCGGTAGGCCTCTTAAACGCACGCCACTTACACAATCCAAGCCCACGGTCCAATGACGCATATCCAAATCTTACTCGATCCATCAGCAAGTCCAGCAGCAGCAGCAGCAACAACAAAAAGCACGATCACATTTTCATACGACTGGAAAAGTGAGTCATCGCCGTCTGAAGGAACTGGAAAGAAAATGTTGGTAAAAAAACATTTGATAAAATGCTGAAAATAAACGCGGAAATTATTATTATTGTGTACAGCCTACAATGAGCGATTGTGCAACGGGGCGCGCTGTGATGTGCAGAGACAAGTGTAGGCACGGGGATCTGGGCGGAGGCCAGCGCAGCTGTCTCGATAGACGGGTTAAGCCAGAAGCATTACACACTCATTACACACGGCCACACACGCGCACAGGCACACACACACAGCAGATAAGTGTGCACACACTACCCATCAAATGACACACGCACACTCGTTTCGCCACTCGCGAGCGCCGTCACTCACTCTCGCGGTCACTCGCCCACATGGTCACTCACTGCAGATAAGTGTACACATAATGCCACTCGAGACACACACACGACACACTCGCCATTCACCACTAAGTTGCCGTGACGTCACCACGGCGCTTGTGCCAGGCTAGGAGCACTTTGAGGCCACGTGAAGTGTCGAAGGCCCACTAGCAGGAGGTCACGGAACAGACCTATGTACCATGGGTTGACTGACTGAGATGAATGGCAGATGCACCAACTGAGCTCCCCACTGTGCCAACTTTATGCGTTGTATCTGCATGGCGCTCTACTCGTTGTTGTGAGCGTCGATCCTCTGCCATCCGTTGTTACTGGCGGGCGACTGCCTCAAACTCCCCAGTAGCGTCCTTCGCGAACCTCCTACACAGAGGCCGATCTTGAAACAGCTGGTGCCAGTCATCTGGACGTCCAATCAGTTCCGCATTATTCCGTACCAAGTCTGTCGATCTCTTCTCTAGCCCGTGCCGCGCCCGTTAAGCCCTCTTGATCCGGCCAAACATAATCTCCTTGGGCATGCGATGGCTGGGCATGCGGGCTACATAACCCAATCGACGCAGCCTCGCTTGCCAGAGGAGCTCACGATGGGACTGTGTCTAGATCTTTCAAGGACGTGAGGCCCTCACACAATCCAGTCTGGTTAAGCCCAGGATGGATGTAGGCAGGCCATGCCTGAATGTTAGACACGCATTCCTACAAATAATCGCGAAGAGATAAAGATCCCCTAAGTTCCCCTGTTATTACAGATGACGCGTCAGGGTAAGTAATGCCAGTGTACACCGTATGTGGGGAACGGTGGCGTGACGTCTGCGGGACTACAATATGCAAATCGGGTGTGTGCAGTGCCTGTGTTGTCAGTCACGAGCAGAGGAGGAGGAGCGTGAACCTGCATGTATGTATGTGGAGCTTCTTTCGCACCGTATGTAGCCAGCCGTGCTACGTACGGTGCGATCGGAGGCAGGGAACCGACAGCCCGGGCTGCAGTTCGGGCAAGGGAGCTCCAGACTGATGTTGGCCGTGGCCGGGAATTGAACTCAGGTCGCCTGGTTGATCGTGGAGGATGTTAACCACTGGGACACATCTCCCCCCACTGTGCAAATACAGATGAGCAATAAGGCCCCTAATCTCATAATAGCACACTTTCACAGGTTGACACATGCAAAGATAAAGACGAAGGTACTCCGGTATAGGCTTGACAGACTGTTGGGGCAAGTGCTGTTCGCGAGTAGCACCTGTGAAGCCAGGCACGTCGCAATCGAGGGCGGTGTGGTCAGCGTCACACCCAGTTGGCCTAGGGGAGGCACTGAACAGGTTTCGATAAAACTTCCCACTGATGTTCCCCATGATCAAGAATCAAACACGAGGTTGACCAAGTTCATGGATTGGTGTGCTAACCAATGCGCCACCACTAACCACACATGTAAGCACAACAACCGTCGTTCACCATGAAGTGGGGGGGGGGGGGTGAATTCACCACAGCGCTTGTACCATGCTGGGTGCACTGAGACCGCGTAAAGTATCGAAGGCCCGCTGGCAAGAGGTCACGGAACCAGACCCAGCAGGTGTCATGGATTGACTGAGATGACTGGCACACACACGGCTGCCCAGGTGTGAAGAGGCAGAGCGTCATATCGATATCACATTCTCACACACTTTTTCTCTCCCTGTATTTTAAAGCAAAGATTGGGGGCGCGTCGTATAACCCAATATCACATAAGTAATTAGGAGTGTCGTTGTGGAGAATACAGACAGCAAATTACACGCAGACGATTTATCTGACTTCCCATATCTGTCCGTGCACATTTTGTTGTTCATGTTTTTACGCATCCCATCAGTCGCACGGACTTCTGGGAGTGAATAATGTAAGCAGCATGAATTGAAGACGAAGCAAAACTCAGTGTCTCATGAACAGTCACGCTCGCTTGAACCAATTCTGGTGAACTGCCAAATGTTTAGAAACAAGGACTCGCTCTTTCTGTTAGATACGGGTCCTAGTTGGACGCAACATTATACGAGACACAACACAGAATAATCATAGCGTCGGGGTGAAGAGAATTATTAACACGATTAATAAGCAAACAATATTTCGTGTCATCCAATCGGTGTGCACGAAACCAGATTCATACAACTTTGTTGATGCTGGGCACACGTTTTGGGATGCGTCTTACTTTCCACAGCGTCTTAAAATCCAGGTGAAACGCGGCACGGTCAGACACCACCCCTTTGTAAAGGTGCTACTACACATGCAAGCGGTACGGGGGGGGGGGGTGTCAGCTGATTGATAGATCATGGATGATGATGTTGATGAAGAATAATCCCGCAGCTCATGCCTCCGAAATGCCACCCAGTGGCAGCGCGAGGGATTAGCAAGCCAAGCAAGAAACTTCGTGGCCGCAAATAGCTCTCTCATCTCACAACTGCATCTCTATCCAGGGCTTCATTTCTCGATATTTCTAGAAACGCTGCTACGTGGATGGATAGGTGTAGGGATTATCGGCGTAAGGCACTACCACTAGAATGCGAGGTACCGCCTATCCATAATAATACTCGCCCGATGTCGTCGCCGCACCCGATATTCCTGTCAAGCTATGAGCAGATTTAGGACACACATGAAGCGAGACGGATGTGGCACGCCAAGAGGAGCGTTCGGAACTGCTCCGGCTGGAACTTGACACCGTGTCCATCTAGTCGACATACCTTCTCGAGTCATTTCACTCACTTTATTTTTATCAACTGAAAAACCCACACCACCCCAAGCTCAGCCGCCCCCCACCCCCACACACACACGCACACCCCTCCCTTTTAATTGGAGCTAAACATTAATTTCTGCCGAGGACCCTCCAACAGCGGCAGGCAGAGCACCGCCACCCGTGGTGAAGGGGACATGGGGGAGGATGAACCCAGCAACGAGAGAACAAACAACAACATCAACCCTGCAACCGGGCGAGAGTTGCTGCGAGAATAATCTCGCTTGGCCGGGGATCGGCGTCTGCGAGAACGTGGAGGCGCCACCGCTCCGCTTCCCCATCTCTCTCTCTGCGTGTCAGCTGGAGGGGAAATAAACCGGCTCGTCCATCCGTCGTGGTTTCACGGACAAACAATGGCCCTCGCGCCCGTGCGAACTGGCAGTCGTTAGACAAAGACGACACCCCCCCCCCTCCCCTGCCGTTCAGCCTTGACAGACTGTTGGGGCAAGTGCTGCTGGCGAGTAGCACCTATGAAGGCCGGCACGGCATAGAAGGGGGGGGGGGGGGTGCCCAGCACCACGTCCGAGTTTTTGGCTTGTGTAAATTTCCACAAGATAAGCCACTTCGTTGAGGTATCATGTGTGGCCAGGTCGTTTCTGAAAAAAGAGCTACATAGCTCAGTGGGCCTTAACTGGTACAATAAAAAAATACTTCAGATTTTTTAGATCACCTTTGTTTCCCACAAGTGGTGACGTTTACAAACCGCACCAGGTACTCATTTGAGGTTAAGTCGACCTAGGATAGGCCCAACACCGGTTCATATGATCGTCACTTGTGTTGATGGCCGTGAGCGAGAATCGAACTCGGGTGGCCGGGTTCCTAGCGCAGCGCGGATTCGCAGCTGCGCTCCCGCACCCCACACCGCGGAGTCATTACACGCACGCACGGACACGCGTGTGCGCTGGGATTTAGATATATTTTTGGCTGCAAAGAACAGATTGTGTGTTCTTGGTGTTGGTGTGTGCCTGCGTGACACATGGGAGGCTTAAGGTGCCGGTAGATATTGTCCTACGTCGCGGGTGTCCGTAGCGGTGAAAGTGCAGCCCCTGCAAGTGCTCGCTCGGGCTGCCGCTTGGCGGTGAAGGGACCTCTGCTCTCGAGGGGACATCGAGAGAGGCCACTTCTCGGGCAGGGATTCCCAGCCGTCCTGTCCTCGCGGGCCACTGTTCACCCCTCAACGTGGAGAACCGTGCGGTCAAACAAAAACAAACCGTCTGGTGTCGCGTGACAAAAATCGTCCTGGCATCAGATCCACAGACGACTCCCCACGGCCTAGTGGAACACGGGACGTGAACCACTGCTCTCAGAGAGAACGCCGGGCATTCTCTTCATCCTAGAAACTCGCCTCGTTTAAGTGGCCTCTACTCCCCGGCTGGTTCTGGTCGTGTACCCTGCAGCTTCTCTGTATTTCCTGGCTTTCCATACACAGCGGCGCATTGCGATGTACGGATGAAATGCGCCAAATTAGTAATGTAAATTATTATTACATTCGTCAATAGCGCCGTGGCGCTGAAACGATAATGCATATAATAGGCGACGTTTCGTGTGATGGCCCTTACTCACACACCATGTGGAGAGTCCGTGTACCGTGAAGAAGAGCGAGGTGCTTTTTTAATTGAAATTTGACAACGAAAAGCAGCACACCGGTGACCCAGCTCACCCTGGCAAATGAGACCCCAGGCTAACCCACCCCACCCCCCCCCCGAGCTCTGACCCAGCTGAACAACAGTTAGATGTACGACGTTAAACGTGCAAGGGTTACCTATTTTCATGCTTGCGAGCCGCGATATGACGGATCGGAGACACCGCGACACTGACGCGGAACGTGAAGACAATCCTTCACGGATGAACGGTGCGCAAAGAAGGCACGGGAAATGGTGCACACTGGGAATTGCACCGATGAAAGAGGAACAGGCGGTGAGGCGGAGGGCGAATTTGAATGAGAGACAATCGCGTGGCGCTTGGATTCGGGGCAGGCCACCGGCGCACGCAGGGGACATTCACGGCGACCAAGCCTGACGGCTGAGAGGCAGAAACTGAAGAAGCTTCGTGGAGCGAAACGTCGGACATTACGCTGAAAGATGTGGCGCAATCCGGAGGGACATATGCTAATTTGTTGGGGGGTTCAGCCGCGGCGGAAACTCACCACCGTGGCTTCATGCGCGTACGTGTGCCCGCGCGTGTAATGACTGCGAGATCCCACACCGCAACAGGTACCAATTTGAGGCCGAGTCGACCTAGGGGAGGCCCAGGAACGGTTCAGATAATCGTCGCAGGCGTTGGCCGCGAGCGGGAATCGAATTCGGGTCGCCGGGGGGGTTGGTAGCGCGGCACGCTAACCAGTGCGCCACCGCTCCCCGCCATGACCTCGTGCTCTCACACACAGCTCAGTCGGAGCACACGGAGAAGGAGTTGGAGGACACGGGCGGCGGTGCCGGCAGCTGGGCGCTGGCGACCAGGAACGGCGGTGGCGAGGCGCAGGCCGTGGCGCCGTGGGACGGGCTGCAGGTGGTGCACCTCACGGAGGAGCTCTGCCAGCGGCTCGAGCGGCTGGGCAGCCAGGAGGAGCGGGAGGGCCTCCGCAGGCAGCTGCCCCCAGGCACCGTGAGGGCGCTGCTCGGCTGGCTGCACGCGAGCACGGTGCGGCAAGCGCGGGTACACGGCGCGGGTACACGGCGCGGGTACACGGCGCGGGTACATGGCGCGGGTACACGGCGCGGGTACCCGCATATACGGGAACACAAAGACAAAGATCCCCCGTTTTCAAATTGAAAACTAATTTCTTTAAAACTGCTTTTGGTGTCATAGTTTGTTGTCCTTAACCCCGCACCTCCGATTATCACGGTCGACTGCGTACGATACGGAAGAAGTGCAACATACGTATGTACATGGAGACTGTGGGGGCAAGTGCTGTTAGCGATCACCTATTAGGCTCTGTACGGTGCTGCATGAAGAGGTTGTGTTGCCAGCGTCATTCCCAACCGCCTTTGTCTTCCCTGTGCCGATGTTTCCACACCGTACCAGGTACTTATTTGGAAGGCTGAGTCGACCTAGGGGCGGCCCAGAACCGGTTCAGATAATCGTCACTGGTGTTGGCCGTCAGCGGGAATCCAACCCGGGTCGCCGGGTTCATAGCGCAGCGTGCTTACCCCTACGCTAGCACTCCCCGTGTGTACAGACACACGCAGCCAGTGAAACACACACCGACACACGAGCGCGCACACACTCTCATATCTAGTCACCATATCGCCTCGCGATCCAGGGTGTGATTGTGTCAGAATCGCAGGGCCTCAAAGAGACTTTAGAGCTCAGCCACACGAAGAGAACAAACGCGACTCCTCATATCACCGGGGTGGCTTTGCGCTGATCCACAGGTTCACAAAGGCAAAGATTCCCCATGTAGTCGCCACACACTGTCGGGACAGGTGCGGTGAGCGAAGGCTGACAAGGGCACACGAGTGGGTGGTTTGGTCAGGACCACGCCTGCTCACCTTCCTCAATCGCCCCAATGCTGGTGTTTGCGTACCGCAGCAGGTACTCATTTTATGCAGAGTAGATCTAGGGGGATGCCCAGGATGGGTTCCATTGCTCATCACGGATGTTGGCCGTGGGGGGGGGATCGAACTCGGTTCGCCGTGTTCGTAGCGCAGTGCGTTAATTGCTACACGAGCACACGACCACCCCACGTGGACCACAGACATTCACAGGAGCCAAGCAAGTTCGACTGCAGGACTTTTATTTTCAGCCGGGTCTCCCCGGGCCAGCGACCACCCCGGCACACCACATCCCGTGTGCCCCCTCACACTGACTGGATATCAAAACTTAACAAAGTTGGTTTAACACGTAGCGGGCTTTCGCGACCAATATGATCCATAATAGAGGTTTTTGTGGTTAGATTTCGTAAATATATAAATGTGTCGTTAAAACCCGCCACCACCCGATACAGCCAACTAGTGAGGGTTGTCACGTAAACAGAACGTGGCCAATTCGTCACCAGTACAGCACTAGTGTATAGTGTAGTGTATAGTGTAGTGTATAGTGTAGTGTATAGTGTAGTGTATCGTGTAGTATACTAGTATAGCACACCGGTGTGTTGGAGAGCCAAGCCGCAACATTTACAATCTGAGTACGACGTTTCGCCAGTAATTACAACCAGCTTCATCAGGCGATAGCCAGATTTTAACAAAGTTGTCAGACTAATGCTCCGTCTCACTCGAGTTCTCGCCCTGGTGAAGTAACGCAAACACGGGCAGTATCAAAACCGGTGAGAACGGGGCCCAATTCACTCATGTTGACCCGTCTGGATCGTTGTCGAGTTGCTTGTCCTTTCCCCCAGACCTCCGATTATCACGGTTGGCTACGCACAATGCGAAATAAGTTCAACATACATACTTAGAATGTGCATACAACCTGGCATCTCTCCCCCTGAGTCTAAAACCAGTCGCTTCTTCCTCTCCCTCTGTCAATGTCTCCCACTCTCCGTCTCTCCCTCTGTCCATGTCTCCATCTCTTCATTTCGCACTCTCTCCCTCTCTCCACTCTCCCTCTCTCTCGGTCGCTCACTCTCTCCATCTCTCGCACTCACCCCATCTCTCTCACTCTCTCCATGTCTCATTCTCCCCACTCTCAATTGATCTTCATTTTACACCACAGCTCATATCGCAGGATTATTTTTTGTAAGTACATTTACAAATCCATTAATTAAAACGTTATTGAAACAGCGGGGGAGTCATTGCTGTTGGTTGTCTAGCGTGTGTATAAATATATATTATACATGCCTACATGACATATAGTTAAATATGTAATGTACTTTTATACACACAGATGTGTGTGTATATGCAATACACAAACCGGTTCGTCAGCGAGGGTGACGCAACGTTGAGTGTGACGTCGTTGACGGCCCAATCGCCAGCGTCGTTCATCAGCTTCGTGGGCAGCGGGGAAAGGCGTCGAAAGGAAGACAAGAGAAAAGTCGCTTTTAATTACGGCGCTGGATGCTGCTAATTGCAGCTCGCCACCGCGTCCCATAACAAAGCATATAATCATCGTTATTATTAGTAGTTTTGCAACGGGGAAGGTGGCTAAGGCAGCACAGCGATTAAATACCAACGTGGAAATAACCGCGTGGACCTTGACGGGAAGCGTCCGGATGAGAGGGCCACCTCTCTGAGCGGCGGCAGTGCGGGCACACGGGGCACGCCCTGCCTCGCTAGGGGCCCTGCCCGGGCACACGGGACACGCCGCCTCGCTGGGGGCCCTGCCCGGGCACACGGGGCACGCCGCCTCGCTGGGGGCCCTAGCCCCGCGAGGTTTCGTCGCACGCGAGTCCGATAAAATATGGACCCCCCCCCCCTGAATTATAACAATGTTAAGTAGGTGTCTCATGTCCAAATAAGGTTACTCTGGGTGTGTGCTTGCCCATGTAAGGCATCGATACGATTTACGTTTCACGCTCGAGCCCATGCTCGCCTCCATGCTCAAACCCACGCTCGAACGCAAAACAACCGCGACTGTGACCGCTCCCTTTCACGTTGTTATAAAAGGGCCATTGCCCGAAACGTTGCCTGTTATAGAATTGTCTTTTTTCCTCACAAGGCCACGCGGAGTTGCCCACGTCCGTGTCCCAGGGTGCTTATGGGAGGCCGCAGGCTGTGATCCCACGCCCCCCATCCCCACACCGTGCGAGCGCGCTCCGAGCGGAGGATTCCCCCGCGTCTCTCACTCGGCCCGACGGTGACCCGCGACGGGGTCTCGGAGTTACGCGCGCAGCGAGAGCGAGCGGTGCAAATGCCGCACGGCAGCATTCCTCCAGCCCCACGTGGCGTCGCCTGTTAACGTTTGGCCATATCTTCAACATTCTTTAACAGGGTTATTTTTGTGTCATTCGCCTGTAGGTCTGCCAACTTCCTCCTGTAGAGCCTCCCTAACGCAACCCAGATCAAACACAACAATGCCGGTACCAGATCCCGGTGCGAATCGAATTCCTGCCATCCCAACACAGATGCCAATTCCCCGACTGCCCAGGTCAAACACAAACAGCTGTCAACCACAGCGGCAGCTGCAGCAGGTACACGAGTAGCAGCATTGCTTAAGTGACGTGCCCACAGAACAGAAGAAGGCGCTGGGTGTAGGCAGAAGTGATTTGCGGCATGTCTCTTCATGTGGCGAGTAAACAAAATGCAATTAGAAAAAAAACACTTTATACTTATCGGGGGTTCACAGCCAACATTTCCAGATAATGAATATCGCGCCATCCTAAAATAAAGATGCACATCTTACATAAGCAGATTACGTAAGCGCCGTGACGCCAACACGTTTAAGCTGTGGGGTGATGTTCTGGATTGGAGAATTGATTTTTATCCACACCTAAACCAGAGCAGGGCCTTATAATGAATGGCAATGTTGAAAGTCATTTAGTGTACGGCGTAAAGCCGTCTGGAGGAAGCTGTGCGCTGAAAGAGACGGGAGAATTAATACGTTATTTTTAGGATGACAGATCAGTGAGTGCAGACCATTTATACAACTTGATTTGTCTTTATTTTACGTAACGTGGAAAACCACGCTCCACCGGCGCTTCCGCGACGCGGAAAGTCGCCAGACAAACCCTCGGAAAGTTAAGAGATGTCGCTTCGACGACAGGCCTTTCTACGTGAACACAAATAAATAAAAAGTCCTCCAAAAAGCTTGTCACCGGCCCAACGTTTGAGTGAGTAGTCTTTCCGGGCGGAGTGCGACTCACAGAACCACCACGACCGGGAGGGATCGCGCATCAATCGGTGCCACTTTGACCACAGAGAAATGCAAAGGGGCGTTTGTAGCTTTGGCAACAAAAAAACGTTCGCGTTTTCTCGAACAGTAAAGTCCAAATGGTCCCTAGGTCTGTGGTGACCGGGCCGCTGAGCTGTCAACGACGAACGGGCGGTAGCGCGATGTTCCAGGCTGACGTCGTCAATAGCAGTCATTGTTATTGTGAGATTTTGCTCAGCGCTGGCGATGTGTTTGTATCAGCGACTGCATCTGAGCTGCACGGGTCTGGTTTAAGAGCCATAAACAGAGCCACTGCGGTGATCCGCTTTGATTCATTCCAAAAGTTACCACTCAAGTTATGTTGACAGCACGGGGTTCAATCCCTTGAGGGCTGCTGCGGCGGCGGGGGCGGCGCTCGGAACACCGCGAGAATTTTGTTCACTGATTTTGTGAGAATGCTCGAATTCACCACGGGGTTCCATTGTTCCCGCCTGAGTACAATCAGACCCTGTGTGCACATGTACAATGAGGGAAAAAAGTATTTGATCCCCTGATGATTTTGTACGTTTGCCTACTGACAAAGAAATTATCGCTCATTGCTTTTATGGTATTTCTACATACGTGACTTTACCGAAAAAACCAAAGAGTAATTTATGCAGTCACGAAAGATTTAATTCTTTATTAAAGAAATTATCAGTCTATAATTTTAATGGTAGGTTTATTTGAACAGTGAGAGACAGAATAACAACAAAAAAATCCAGAAAAACGCATGTCAAAAATGTTATAAATTGATTTGCATTTTAATGAGGGAAATAAGTATTTGACCCCTCTGCAAAACATGACTTAGTACTTGGTGGCAAAACCCTTGTTGGCAATCACAGATGTCAGACGTTTCTTGTAGTTGGCCACCAGGTTTGCACACATCTCAGGAGGGATTTTGTCCCACTCCTCTTTGCAGATCTTCTCCAAGTCATTAAGGTTTTGAGTCTGACGTTTGGCAACTCGAACCTTCAGCTCCCTCCACAGATTTTCTATGGGATTAAGGTCTGGAGACTTGCTAGGCCACTCCAGGACCTTAATGTGCTTCTTCTTGAGCCACTCGTTTGTTGCATTGGCCGTGTGTTTTGGGTCATTGTCATGCTGGAATACCCATCCACGACCCATTTTCAATGCCCTGGCTGAGGGAAGGAGGTTCTCACCCAAGATTTGACGGTACATGGCCCCGTCCATCGTCCCTTTGATGCGGTGAAGTTGTCCTGTCCCCTGAGCAGAAAAACACCCCCAAAGCATAGTGTTTCCACCTCCATGTTTGACGGTGGGGATGGTGTTCTTGGGGTCATAGGGAGCATTCCTCCTCCTCCTCCTCCAAACACGGCGAGTTGAGTTGATGACAAAGAGCTCCATTTTGGTCTCATCTGACCACAACACTTTCACCCAGTTGTCCTCTGAATCATTCAGATGTTCATTGGCAAACTTCAGACTGGCATGTATATGTGCTTTCTTGAGCAGGGGGACCTTGCGGGCGCTGCAGGATTTCAGTCCTTCACGGCGTAGTGTGTTACCAATTGTTTTCTTAGTGACTATGGTCCCAGCTGTCTTGAGATCATTGACAAGATCCTCCCGTGTAGTTCTGGGCTGATTCCTCACCGTTCTCATGATCATTGCAACTCCACGAGGTTAGATCTTGCATGGAGCTCCAGGCCGAGGGAGATTGACAGTTCTTTTGTGTTTCTTCCATTTGCGAATAATCGCACCAACTGTTGTCACCTTCTCACCAATCTGTTTGGCAATGGTCTTGTAGCCCATTCCAGCCTTGTGTAGGTCTACAATCTTGTCCCTGACATCCTTGGAGAGCTCTTTGGTCTTGGCCATGGTGGAGAGTTTGGAATCTGATTGATTGCTTCTGTGGACAGGTGTATTTTATACAGGTAACAAGCTGAGATTAGGAGCACTCCCTTTAAGAGTGTGCTCCTAATCTCAGCTCGTTACCTGTATAAAAGACACCTGGGAGCCAGAAATATCTCTGATTGAGAGGGGGTCAAATACTTATTTCCCTCCTTAAAATGCAAATCAATTTATAACATTCTTGACATGCGTTTTTCAGGATCTTTTTGTTGTTGTTATTCTGTCTCTCACTGTTCAAATAAACCTACCATTAAAATTATAGACTGATAATTTCTTTGTCAGTGGGCAAACGTACAAAATCAGCAGGGGATCAAAAACTTTTTTCCCTCGCTGTACACGCAAAGGCAACACAAAGGTCTCCCGTCGAGCCCACACATGTCAGTTGGAGCAAGTGGGTTGTCGGCACTACCCTCGGCCGCCTTTGTCTTCCCAATGCTGATATTTACACACTGCTCCGGGTATTCATTTGTAAAGCTGAATCGACCTAGGGGAGGCCCAGAATGGGGGGAATTGAACTCGGGTCGCCGAGTTTGTAGCGCAGTGCGCTAACCTTTCCACCACCGCTCCCCACAAAGACACACACACCCACACAGCCTGCACCACACGCACACACACCCACAAAGACATGCACACAAACACACACACACACGCAGCCTGGGCCACGCGCACACACACCCACAAAGACATGCACACCTACACACACACCCACACAGCCTGCACCACACGCACACACACCCACAAAGACATACACACCTACACAAACACACACACCCACACAGCCTGCACCACACGCACACATACCCACACAGACATACACACCTACACACACACCTACACAGCCTGCACCACGCGCACACACACTTACAAAGACATGCACACACAGCCTGCACCACACGCACACACATCCACAAAGACATGCACACACACAAACACATACACCCACGCAGCCTGGGCCACGCGCACACACGAACACGCACGCTCCCCACACGAAGCGAAAGTGACGCCTTAACCCTTGGGAGCTGTAGTGTCCACCCTGATGCCGGCCGACATAGGTGCTCGCTAAGAGCCCTTTCCCCAACGGTCCGTTGAAGGCTAATCCGGTGAATCTTTGTCTCTTTGTGTTGTGCACGCATCTCTGCAGGGCGCCAACTGCCTGGTGAGACCGTACCCGGCTCGCGAGGACCGTCTGTCTCACGTCGAGAGCGACCAGGAATCGCTCTCTCTGCAGGTGCCGGCTCGAACATTTGACCCGCCTCCTTTCTCTCACCTGTGATTTCAATATCCCCCCCCCTTGAGCTACTTGGCTGGGTGGGCTGCTTTAGCTTTTGCTCGGTCTGCTCCACGCCGAGCGCCGCCACAGTGGCCGTGTACGCCGCGACGTTGAGTACCGAAAACAATAAACGCGCCGCAAATTGCCGAGGCATTCACGTTTCAGGCGTCCACATTTCACGAGCCAAATGCCAACGGCGAGGCCTGCTGGCCACAAGAGGGCCCAGGAGGGAGTTTGTGCCGTCTGGCGAAGCCTCGCCGGACGAGCGCAGACGACATTGGCCACCCGCAGTGGCCCGAAGTTTGTTTTGGCCGCACGGCCACAATCGCACTACCGTGACGTTCCGATTCGGTCGATGGTTCCACCAGCAACGTCCTCAAGGAATGCCAAAGGCAAGGAGGAGCGATGATGTTAGGATCTGGAATGAGTTGTGTTCTCCTGGACGTCCGCGTTGTTCCACCGTGTGCGGCCAGCGTTGCGATTCTAGGATATGGTCAGTGATGGATGTTTATTCCCCGACACGTGCGATTGAGGGGGGGGGGGGGGGTTCAAGCGATTCCACGAGATCGCTGATTGAGAGGACCACGTGGGATCGAAATTGAGTGGCGAACCTTACAAGAGGATGAGTGGCTCTCTTCCCCACTCTAACGAGCGCACACAGCGGCTCTCATCTGCGTTTCACATCCAAGAGCCGTTGAGTGACGCCGCTTTTAAATCAAGTAGCCGCTACGTCGCGTCACAGTACGGGGATGGAGCGGTGGCGAAGTGGAGCACGAACCTCCGTCACGGCAACTCCGGTCGTCATCCTCGCAGCAGCAGCAGCGGCAGCAGCGGCTTTCGGCAAAGCATCGAACAAAGACGGCGGTGGTCATCGCAACGCTCTTCCTTCCGATATTAGCAACCCACTGGAGCTAAGCACGTTTAAGTCTAGAGTGAAAACAATTTACTTTAGAACTGTTTGTTGGTGTGTTTAGTTTGTTGTCCTCCCCCCACACCTCCGGTTGGCTACGTACGGTGCGAAAGAAGTTCAACATACATACGCTACGCTAACGACATCAGAGGCGAGTGATGTCCCGACCAGCCCTGGCCATTAAATGAGTACCCGGTGAGGTGGGGGTAGGAACCATCAGCATCGACGATGGTTCCCACTGTCGCCTTTTATAATCGTCGCTCGCCACCTCCACTTGCCCGCTACAGTGCGGGTAGGCTACACGGGGGACCTTTGTCTCTGTGCAGGTGGGCGTGCTCACCGAGCAAGTCGAGGTGCAGAACGACAAGCTGCACGAGCTGGAGTCCACCGTGGTGGAGCAGCGCCAGCGCCTCTCGTCCACTGAGTCTCTGCTGCACGAGGTGACGACCACGATGATGACGACGACGATGACGACATCCTCCTCCTTATTCTTCTCATCAATTAATGCAAAATATTACCGAGTACATTGACTCAGCACATCATCCCTCTGTCCGGGGTCATCCACATTGTGGGCAATTCCACGGTGGTTTCGTCACACGGACAGACTCGCCCAGCCAATGGAACGTGGACTTTCCACCACTGGCCCAGGGCTGTATAAACAGGGGGACGAGCCAACCGCCTTAGTTCTCATTCGAGCAGGGCAATTCACGTTCAAACTTTGACTTTCATCAACCAAGGGCGGCCAAGTCGCTGCCCCAACCCGCGAACCTCTGCAACGAGCGGGCGAACGCCTCCGGCGAAGCCCAGCCGCGTCTACGCGCGGAGGGCTCCTCCGAGTAATTGCTCAACTCGCAGATGTGAGCCTCAGCCATTTGAGTAATTGGCAAATCAGCGCGACGAAAAGCACTTGCGAGAGACGCCCGTTTTGGTTCTTCCGCTAAAAATAAAGACGCGCACGCGCTCGCGAGTCGCGAATCGCGAATCTCGCGGACGCGGCCCGGAAGGCCTCCCCATAATTGCCTGGCCCAGTTAGACGGAAGCGCGACTTTGTGGAAGTCGCTGCTCATCGCGGGAACGCACTGCCAAGTTTGCTCGCGAGCAGAACCACTAATCAGGCCAATGCGAGTTCAGCCCATCAGACGATCTAATGCACACATCGGGTGAATTACCGCGGCAGGGATTGCACACGACGAGCCCCTACCGCGCACGGATCTCGGTAATTGGTGACTTCTGCTAATTCAGAAAGTGAACGGACGCTTTGGTCTCACACGCACAGACGCATACACACAGACACATACACACAGACACACGCATACACACAGACACATACACACACAGACAGACAGACGCATACACACATACACACACACATACACCCACAGACACACGCAAATACAGAACACGCGGATTCACTCCAGAAACGTGACGCTTTGATGACTCGCAATATATTTTTTTGGGGGGGAGGATTCAGATCGCCGCGTGAGTACAATAACGAGGTGTTGTGTCGTGCACCCTCCTCCAGCCGACATCTGTGAAAAGAGCTTCATTGATCATCGGATTCCTCCAGTATAATACTAAATCTAAAATAAAGTCCTCGCCTGATGAGCAGACACGTGCCCATGTATCGTTGCTTCAGCGCAGCGATGCGCTGCCCAGCGATCCACTCGCGCACGCATTGTGCCACTGCCCCAAGGTTCCACTCCTTAGATGCTGTACAACTTAAACTTGTTGTTGTTGTGAAGGTGCAACAACAACGGTTGCACGCAACTGAACCAGCTCATACGTTAGACACCTCTGCATTAATGTATGTACGTTGAACTTCGTTCACACCGCACGTCGCCACCCGTGTTAATTGGAGGCGCGTGGGAAGGACAGCACTGGTAGTCGTCCACCCGTACAAACAACGCGCGCGACTTGGGTTGTGACAACTCATCGCTGAGGTGCAGGGCCGCAGCGTCACAGACTCCAGGAAGGACCTTGCACCAAAATATATATAAATATATTAGGGCCAAGGCTGATACCGAGGAGGAGAGCGCTGGGTCATGAAAAGCGTGATGTTTGACGCGAGAGGGGTGTGGACTGCGCCCTGACCCACACTGCCCCCTCCCGTCGTCCCCAGGGCTTCTGCCGGCAGCTCGAGGACCTCTCGATGCGAATCTCGGAGCTGCGGGGCTCCAAGGCTGAGTACGAATCGCTCCTCCAGTCGACCAAGGTGGGGTCCGAACGCAGTCGCATGAAGAATAATGACGACGAAGATTACAATGGCGACGATGATGATGATCACGATGATGATCACGATGATGATCAAGATTACAATGACGATGATTACAACGATGACGACGATCATAATCAAGATGATGATGACGATAATGATGACGGTGATGATTCGCGTACCGCCTGTGTCTCCCCCCCCCCCCCCCCCCCCCCCCCCCACGTAGTCGGAACTGGCTGAGTTGCGGGAGAGACTGAGCCTCCGGGAGGATGGCGAGAAACTCGGTGCCGTCAGGAGGAACGGCGCTACCCTGGGAGGGCAGCACGGCGACCCCAGTGGGGCAGGTAAGGGTCGCCAGGGGTGGCGAGATGTTAACTACCTCGCCAGATATACAGGAGGTTGTAGGTTCGATCTCGACCCTGACGCTGCTTAAATATTTTGAATTTGCGTGTGTCTCTCTTCACGTGATCGCGTGGATTTCCCCCCAGGTAATCAGTTTTTCCCTCCTCATTTAGAATCAACATCACGAGTATTTGGCTGCTAAAAATTCCCAGGTGATGATGAGCCAATTCGTTGAGCTATTATTTGTGGTCAGTTCACTTCTAGAAAAAAGAGCAATATAGCTCAGTGAACCTTACCTGGTAAACTACAAAAAATATGATGTTTAAGTGTATCTTCATCGTTTAGTTTAGTAATTGAATCTGGATTTGAAGCTTTCGTGACTGCAGTAATTCATACTCTTTGGTTCTTTTGGTAAAGTTTAGTAGTTTAGTCAATAGTTTGCGCCAGGAGCTCATGCCAACCACACTACTGGTCACGGTTGGAGAATCGTCGAGGCCGCAAGTTCCATGATGGGCAATGACCACGAAGCGGGGGTGTTGCGCCAAACACTCTGAGCAAAGAGAGCATTCCAACTTTCTCTCCCTGTTGTCATTGTAATGTTCTTTTCATGTTATTGTTGTTGTTTCCCCAACAGATGAGCAGCAGATGAAAGTGCTGGTGGCCTCGCTTTTGGAAGCGAATGAGAAACAGGTTGGGAGCTTTTTCTTTGTTCGCAGCAAAAACAAAATGCTGCATAATGCTCTGATAATAATGTCAACGTTTAACCCTGCGTCGCCGCTATGCAGTATTTTCGCTCGCTGCCTTAGAGAGAGAGAGAGACGTTCAAGAGGCGCGAGAAGGAACCACAGATATAGCCAGGCAGGCAGTGAGCCAGCACAAAAATCCCCCCTGGCTCTGCGGTCCTCTAGATATGAAGATGTTATCGGCCAATTCTTGAGTGTTTACGTGTGGGAGACAATCGGAGCACCCGGGAAAAGAAACCCACTGGTGCCAGAGGGCAACACCCGTCTGTCACCGTTCACCTCTACGAGTACCATCACCTACATTAACATTAGCTGCCCATGCTGATGACTCTTGGGCTACGCCTATTTAAAAAAAACTTTATAAACAGTTTGCCTTTAGAGGCTAACCCCCTTTTCCTGATGACGACCACTTGTGTTGCGATCGAAACGTCGTGGTTTTTGTTATTTTCTTTGAACCTATCTACGTGACTTTACCGAAAGACCCAAGGAATATGTTCATTATTGTTGTTGTAATATTAATCTTGATTTACGTTTGTGTCCTGGTTTAGATTTATCTTGTGACACAGTTGGTTTTTGTCTTTATTTACATTTAATTGTTTTTGCCCTGGTTACTCTTTGCTTCCTTGTTGTAATTTTTTTAAGTCATTGCTATTGTTATTTTGGTGACCCCAGGCCACTCTTGCAAATGAGACCCCTGCTGGTCGCTTTCGCTTCTCACCCAGTTAAGGAAATGTCAACATTGTAACTCGATCTCGTGGCAGGAACGCAAGATCTCCGAGCTACAGGAGATGGTGCAGATGGTCGGACTCAAGAAGGACGGGTACACGGTCGTGGAAAACCCGGACTCGGACCGACCGGAGTATGGCAAAATCAAACCGCAGCGATTACACCAGCTCAACCACAACCACAGCCACGAGCGCAACCACGTGTGTGAAGAACAGCTGGGCAGCGAAGAGATAAGCAGAGGACAACACACAAACGCACGCAGAGACAAGACAGATGCAGATCAGATAGTTGCACCGCAGATTCAAATCGCAACGGAAGGGACATATGAGATCAATGTAGATCGGGTAGGCGCAGAGCGGGAACACACGAGCAGAGAAGAGATCGGTACAGAAGAGACAGGCAGATATAAGGCAGGCGCAGACGTGATGGGCATGAACACAGAGCAGAATAGCGTACACAAGATATGCACAGAGCCGATGCGCAGGGGGGAGATACACGAAACACAGATACACGGAACACAGATGAATGGAACACAGATGAACGGAGGGCAGATAGACTTAACGCACATGAGCGTAAGCGCAGAACAGATACATAGGGAGGAGAGAGCCACAGCGCAGATATACGCAGAAAAGACAGGAGCAGAATCGAGACGTATGGAACACAGAGCCGCAGAACAGATGAATAGGGAACAGATAGCCGCAGAACAGATGAATAGGGAACAGATGAATAGGGAACAGATAGCCGCAGAACAGATGAATAGGGAACAGATGAATAGGGAACAGATAGCCGCAGAACAGATGAATAGGGAACAGATGAATAGGGAACAGATGAATAGGGAACAGATGAATAGGGAACAGATGAATAGGGAACAGATAGCCACAGGACAGATGGGCACCAAAGAGGTAGCTTCACAGCAGATGAACAGAGATGAGATGGGCAGAGCAGAGATAAACGCAGGCAACGTTGGCACCGATCAGATTAACGCGGAACAGATAGCCAAAGGACAGATAGCCACTGACCAGATAGCTACAGGACAGATACCCAAAGTAGAGATAGCCACAGAATACATAGCCACAAAAAACATAGCTCAAGAACGTATAGCTACAGACCAAATCGGTACAGGACAGATACCCGAAGCAGAGATAGCCACAAAACATATATCCACAATACATATAGCCAAAGTACAGATAGCCAAAGGCCAGATAGCCAAAGACCAGGTAGCCACAGACCAGATAGGTGCATCTGATATTGACACAGAGCAGATGAACAGAGATGAGATGGTCGGAGCGCAGATGAACGCAGGCGACCTTGGCAAAGAGCAGGCGAGCGCGGAACACCCTTCAGCTGAGCCATCAGTGACAGACGAGACGATCGCAAACCAACCAGCAGCAGATCACACGACCACGGAACCGCAAGGCCAAGCCCATGCAGGCCAAGAGCTCACGGCCACCGGGCAGCTGGAGTCCGTCCCCTTGGCTCCTCGAGGTGAAGAGGATGCGAGGAGCCCGGAGGTCACCGGCGCTGAGGTGCGTGACGCAGCGGCGAGTTGGTCGCGAGCTTGCGATAGAGATGGCGTTTGAGCATTTTGGCTCAACCGGGGCCGTTACCATCTCGTGGTGAATCACGGTCGGCACGCAATCTAGAGGTGGGCAGTTCGCTTCCAACTCCCGGCCGCAGATCTCGATGCACCGGTGGTGCAGGTTTGTTCGATCCCTCTGCCCCTAACCACGCAGCAGTGTGAATGGGCACGTGCGCAATTTCAATGTTTATTTGCTACGTGGAAAGTCCCGTGTGTAGCCAGTTACCCAGATAGTTTGTAAGGGAGATCCGTGGTGCGTCAGCACTGAACGGGAACAATAGCGACATCGAAGTCGACCGGCGGGTCACGTGCGGTGGGGTAAAGCGTGGGTGACCGCACATACTCTTCCAAGACATCTAAGCCAGCGTAGAAGAGTGGCCTGAACGCCGTCGAGAGAGGCCTGCGAGAGCTCCCACGAGACCTTCTGCCAGCAGTGGCGTGAACAAGAAATTGCAGGGCTACACTTTTACCTTTTCCCTTCCCATCTCTTGGCTACAATAGATTTGGATTTGAGAACACCTTCCAAACAAACAAACAGGGCTTGTGTGTGCGTGCAAGACGCCTTGTTTCCGTGATCAATCAGGACTAACCTGATACTGGTCCAGGAACAGGCCAGGGATAGCACCACGGACAGCACCCTGGGGCCACGTCAGTGTGGGCCACCCTGCGTGAGCCATGAGTTTCAGTGGGCTTGGGCTCGCCCCCTCCCTCTACATGCCCATCTGGTCCCCCACCCCGCCCCCCCACACCCCATCTACCCTCCAAGGCCAGTTGGAAGCAAGAATTAAAACATGTATTTCGGTAGGAGACTCGGTGAGACTATTTTAGTAAAAATCTATTTTTTTTTCCCGGCGTTTGTGCTTTTAATACAATCTTGGCTCGAAGGCTATACTCACAAAAATAGTTGTACTGAAAACTATGACAAATTATATATTTAAATATTATTTACAGCTCTTTGTAAATCTACTGCACCTCCCCCCCCCACCCCGGCCGCTTCAGTGACGCGCGTGGTGCACGCGTGCTCCCCGCAGATGAGTCGAAATTAAAAGTAACAAATACAGAATCATGATCGCTACTTAACGCGAGCCTGGGACGACAACAACGGAGGCTCTGATAGCCCAGTCACAGAAAGGTGGCTTGCTTGAATGCGTGCGAGTGCCAGTGCATGTGTTCCCGTGTGTGTGTGTGTGTCAGTTTAATTCGTGGTTTGAAAAAAACTGGTCGCGGGTTGCTGAGGAGATGGAGTCTGCCTCAGTGGCCCGCCGTCACAAATCTCTAATTAACTCCATCAAAAAAGTAACCTGCAGCGCCACACCTATTACCATCATTAGGGGAAAAAACGGTGATCCAATCTCCGACCCCCAGGAACAGGTTTGCAGATTTGCTCAGCATTTCTGTGAGGTCCTGGGGGAGGGAAAATCCCTCAGCCAGGAAAACATCGTGGCACAAAGTGAGGATGACCCTGAGGCTGCGGTGCCTCAAATATTGGAAGAAGTCACCCCCTGTGAGTGGCTGGCTGAGGTGCCATCTGTTGAGGAAGTACTGAAGGCAATCCGGAGTCTGAGACCAGGAAAGGCAGCGAGCAGAGATGATCTCCCAAGCGAAATGCTGAGGGAGGGTGGCGTTTGTGCACAGACTGCCCTATATGACATAATAACAACAATCTGGACCACTGAACGGGTTCTGCAGGATTGGAAGGATGCCCTGGTGGTCCCCCTCTTTAAAAAGGGGGACCGCACAGACTGTAACAACTACAGGGGCATCTCACTCCTCAGTGTGCCGGGAAAGGTGCTGGCAAGGATTATTCAACATCGCCTTGACAGGCACGCTGAGGAGAGGCTTGCGGAGCCCCAATGCGGTTTCAGGAAAGGGCGGTCCTGCACAGATGCCATATTTTCTGTCCGTCTGCTACAGCAGAGGTGTAGGGAATTCCAGAAGACCTACATCTCTGCTTTATTGACCTGTTCAAGGCCTATGATACCATCAGTAGGCCTGGGCTCTGGGTTGTTCTTCGTGCTTTTGGAGTACCTGACCCTCTGCTCACGATCATTAATGACCTTCATGATGATGAGCGGGCCTGGGTAAAACTACGTGGCCGGGAGTCAGAGCCATTCCCTGTACACCTTGGGGTGCGACAGGGATGTCCTCTGGCTCCCACATTATTTCACATCTATTTTTACCACGTAGTTCGTGAAGCCTTCAATAGCTGTACCGGGGGAATCTCCATATGGTACAGATATAATGGGAGGCTGATCGATGCCCGGGTGCGGTCAAGGGATGGCTCCCTATTGCTCAACCACGTTATGTATGCCGATGATTTGGTAATAGCTACTCATTCAGAGGAGTTGGAAACGCTGCTGCTGAGACTGGAGCGTGCTACTAAAAGATGGGGCCTTACCATCAGCCCCACCAAAACTAAGCACCTGCCTGGGTATTTTGTACCATCGGAGACTCCACCCCCACAACTCCCAATCGGTGATGGGGCAGTTGTGGAGAGAGTGGAGAGTTTCCCATACCTGGGCAGTGTGCTTATGACCGGCTCCAGTTTAACAGCAGAGGTCTTACTACGAATCAGTCGAGCGGCAATATCTTTTCATCGGTTGCGTAACGCTGTGTGGAAGCTGACTGTTCTGTCGCTCCGCACCAAGCTTCAGGTCTTCTCGGCCACGGTAATTCCCTCCCTTCTCTACGCTTGCAAAACGTGGACCCCCCTAATGGAACATCCTCGCCGGTTAGAAACATTTAGGCTGTTCTGCCTACGATCCATCCTGGGTTTAACCAGGCTGGATTGTGTGAGGAGCTCACAAATCCTTGAAAGATCTGGGCACGGTCCCATCGGTGAGCTCCTCCGGCAGGCAAGGCTACATTGGCTGGGTCATATAGCCCGCATGCCCAGCCACTGCATGCCGAAACAGCTTTTGTTCGGCCGGATCGAGGGGGCTAAACGTGCGCGGCACGGGCTGGAGAAGAGATGGAGTGACGTGGTACAGGAGGACGTGGAGCTGAGTGGACTTGCCGATGACTGGTACCAGCGGTGTCAAGATCGGCCTCTGTGGAGGAGGCTCGTGAAGGACGCTACTGGGCAGTTGGAGGCAGTCGCCCACCAACAACAATGGAGGACGGAGGAGCGACGCTCACAATAACGAGCGGAGCGCCGGGTGGCTAAAGCACAGCAGGTTGGCACAGTAAGGGGCACAGGTGGTGCATCAGCCAGTCATCTCAGTCAGTCGACCCGTGGCACCTGGGTCTGCCCCGTGATCTCCTGCCCGCGGGCGTTCGACACTTCACGTGGCCTCAAGGTGCACATGGCCTGGCACAAGCGTCGTGGTGACGTCACCGCCACTTAGTGGCGAATGGCGGTTGTTGTGTGTATGTGTGTGTGTGTATGTATGTGTGTGTATATGTGTGTATGTGTGTGTATGTATGTGTGTGTGTATGTGTGTGTGTATGTGTGTGTGTGCGGTTAGCACGGTGTGCTACAAACCCGGCTCACGGTCAATAAGAGTGGCGAATATTTGAACTGGTCCTGAGGTGAGTGGGGAGAGGTAGGGGAGTGCGTGGAGGGGAGATGAGTGAGGTGAGTGGGGAGAGGTAGGAGAGTGCGTGGAGGGGAGATGAGTGAGGTGAGAGGGGAGAGGTAGGGGAGTGCGTGGAGGGGAGTAGAGTGAGGTGAGTGGGGAGAGGTAGGAGAGTGCGTGGAGGGGAGATGAGTGAGGTGAGTGGGGAGAGGTAGGAGAGTGCGTGCAGGGGAACGAGTGACCCTGGGGGCTCACTGTGCACAGGGAACGACGGAGGAGGAGATGGAGCCACGACCTCAGCACGTGACGCCGTGCCCTGCTGGGGAGGGGACGATGCCAGACAGCGAGGCCACACCGCACGGGTGACTTGGCACGCCGCGTCACTCGACTCCCTCACATCAATCACCATCATCGTCGTCGTGATAATGATCATCTCATTCTCCACGACACCCACAGACTCGTATAGAGACCCATAGAATCATATACACTTACCCTGGCTTACATACAGACCCAAAGACTTACATACATATCCATAGACTCATATACACTTACACAGACTTGCATTGAGACCCATACAATTTAATACAGAACCATAGACTCATATACACTTACATAGACTTTCATAGAGACCCATACAATTGAATACAAAACCCTATACTCATATACACTTACATAGCCTTTCATAGAGACCCATACAATTGAATACAGAAACATAGACTCATATACATCTTACATAGACTTTCATAGAGACCCATACAATTGAATACAGAACCATAGACTCATATACACTTACATAGACTTTCATAGAGACCCATACAATTGAATACAGAACCATATGCTCAAATACACTTACATAGACTTTCATAGACCCATACAATTGAATACAGAACCATAGACTCATATACACTTACATAAACCTTCATAGACCAATACAATTGAATACAGAACCATATGCTCATATACACTTACAAAGACTTTCATAGAGACCCATACAATTGAATACAGAACCATAGACTCATATACACTTACATAGACTTTCATAGAGACCCATACAATTGAATACAGAACCATAGACTCATATACACTTACATAGACTTACATAGAGACCCATACAATTTAATACTGAACCATATGCTCAAATACACTTACATAGACTTTCATAGAGACCCATACAATTGAATACAGAACCATATGCTCATATATACCTACATAGGCTTGCATTGAGACCCCTATAAAAAAACACATACACACTCATCAATAGGCAAATACAATCATGACTCTCTTTTGTATATCAATACTGTATACTAAATGTGGCTAAACACACGCACGCACACACGTATACAAAAATACGCATCACCCTAATGCATAAAACACGCAGTGCATCTTTTGTGTATCTAATAAAACAAAATAAATAAATATGAGTTCCATTAATAACATCAAAATTGCATTTCATCCCACTAAGGGAGCTTAGATGAAATTCAATTAGTCGTCAATGTCAGCGCTGAGACCGAAATAACGCCTTGGAATCTCGCGGAAAAATGTGCACATTGACCGAGCCCCTTTGCTCGCACACGCGCCGAGCCCTGTCGGCCACTGCGCTCTGCAGAGACTACCTCTTCTCTTCACGTCGTCATCGTCGTCGTCGTCGTCATTGTTACCACCAAGGTCGTCACGGTCGTTGTTATCGGCATCGTGACATCAGCGCCAAGGGCATCGTCTGTCACCTTGCTAAACGTGATCGCCGTTGTGGTTTTAATCGTGAATATTATCATCGTCGCTCTTGTTATTACGCCGTGAGCATATGCATGCGAGTTCATTCACTCGTTCAGAACAAGGCCATCGTCGTAATGAACATTGTCATCATCATCATCACCACCGTCAAGTTAATCATAGTCATCATCTTCATGTATTTCATCAGAACCAATATTACAGCACTGCAAATTCTCTCATCATCATCATCAATGTCGTTTCATCATTATTCTTAAAGCCATCTTATCTTGAACAAGGCATCATCGTCGTCGTCGTCATCACTGCTTCGTTGTCGATGGACATGGACTGCACGAAGCACCATGTAAAAGTCGAGATTCCAGGTGGCGTGTGAAGAGGTGGCTTCTTGCGTGTGAAGAGGTGGCTCTTGCGTGTGAAGAGGTGGCTCTTGCGTGTGAAGAGGTGGCACTTGCGTGCGAAGAGGTGGCTCTTGCGTGTGAAGAGGTGGCTTCTTGCGTGTGAAGAGGTGGCTCTTGCGTGTGAAGAGGTGGCTCTTGCGTGTGCAGAGGTGGCTCTTGCGTGTGAAGAGGTCGCACTTGCGTGTGAAGAGGTGGCTCTTGCACGAGCTAGCAGCGAATGTGTTTACGCACGAGGGAGACAATGGCCTTTGAGAACAGGGCTCATGCCGCGCAGAGGACGCTGGATGTATTCGTGGGATGACGGGGCAAGCAACTTGGAGGTTTAGAATAGAACATGGAACAACAGTGCTATAGTTGTAACTAGGAAGATGAGGAGGTTGTGATGGGTGGGACACGTGTGCAGAGTGGAGGAGGATAGCGGAAGCGACTTGGAGGTTGGCATAGGACAGGGGTCAGAAACCAAAATAACGAGAACCATTTTCTTCGAATTCAGTAAAAAAAATAAACCTCAATATTTCAAGAGCCGAAATGCATGGAAATACGAGACGGTGATGCCTACTAGATGACGTCACGAAGCGGTCTCTAAAGTGCCGCAGGTTTCCAACCCCTGGGTTAGAAGGACGAGGTTGTGATGGGAGGGACACGTGGTGAGCCGGGTGGAGGACGAGGAGGGCCGGTGACCGACATGGGCATCGGAGTGGCACCCGAAGGTGGGCGAGCACGGGGAAGAGAGGGCCTGGAAACAGGCGGCGGGGATGGTGATGCGAGTTTGAGAGTTGCCCTTGAAGGTTGTGGGTCTTACTTTAAAACAACGAGTGGATCTAGCGGAAGGAGGTGATGACGATGTGTGGCAGCATCAGTGGCAACAGCTACGGTGACCTCTTCCCCGTAACCTGACCCCTGTATGTTGGGCATTGGGCGTCGTGTGTAGCTTCACCGGTGGGGCAAAGTGTGGATATCCTTCCTCCAAGACGTCTTGGCTAACGTGGAAGAGCAGGCCTATGATACCGTCGCAAAAGACATCTCGCGAACTCTCATCCACGAGCAGGAAACGACAGAGCTGCACATTTACCCGTACCCCACTAACGCACGCGCTCATCATTTCAGATGCAGCAGCAGCAGCGATGACGATGGAGACGCCTGGAGCCCCAGCGATGCCAGCGCTCAGGTGACACGGGCATGGGCGATGCCATCGGGAAAGGAGGGGGGGGGAGTAGCTGGCGACCCTCTGCGGGACAACCCAGAGGGTCGCCAGCTCACCTCACTCCACTCCCCTCCACGCACTCCCCGCTGACGATCTGTACGCATCGCACAAGGTGCTCATTTGAGGCTGCGTTAATCGACCTAGATTAATGGCCCAGCACCGGCTCAGATAATCGTCACCGGTGCTGACGACCATGAGCGGGAAATCGAACACTGTTCGCTTTCTCAAAAGCGCATTACACACATGATGACAATTCAAAAAAATGCACGCACCGCACTCATCTTCACATCACTGCCCTGTTACGGGAAAATGCATAGTCGCCTGACGTTTCGGGCAACGGTCCTTATTCAAAGTAAAGATAGTTGGAGATGGAACTTTACACAACGGGACCCCGAGGGTTGAAATTTAAGAAAGTTGGCAAGCGAGCGAATCCCCACGAGAAGGTAACGGAGCAGCCAACTGACCCCTTCCCCGCGCAGTTGCACCGCCTGCACACTCGACAGCACATCGCGGTCCCCCCCCCCCCCCCCCCGCAGCGTCGCCTTCGTTGATCTCATCCAGGTCGACAACAACGGGGAAGCGAGGACGACCCACGCGGCACCGGCCGTGTTCACCGCGGAGCCGCGTGGCCACAGCGCGGCCCGGAACGGCGACGAGCGTGGCCCTGCTCAGGCCCGCACGGACCAAGCGGCCGCGACCCCGAAGGACGGAAAGTTCAGGATGAGTCTGAGACGGAAGGCATCCTTCAGACGGCTGAGCTTGTTCAAGAGGAGGAGCCAGAAGCAAAGGGGCAGCGAACTCGCGTCAAACGCAGGTGCGCACGTGTGTGTGTGTGTACACGTGTGTGCGTACACGTGTCTGTGTACACGTGTGTATGTGTACACGTGTGTACACGTGTGTGCGTATACGCGAGTGTGTACAGGTGTGTGTGCGTACACAAGCCTGTGTTAGTCTTAATCTTTATGGGGAGCGGTCGTGTAGTGCTTAGCGCGCTGCGTTATGAACCAGACGACCCGAGGTCGATTCTCGCTCACGGCCAGCACCAGTGATGATAATTTGAATCTGCGCTGGGCCTCCCCTAGGTCAATTCAGCCTCAAATGAGTACCTGGTGCGGTGTGTAAACATCGCCACTGGGGAGACAAAGGCGGCCGGGCGTGGTGCTGCCCACCCACCCCCTCGTGTACCGTCCCGGCGTTCATATTTACTCGCTGACAGCACTTGCCCCAACAGTCTGTTAAGGGCATATGGGGGATCTTTGTCTTTGTGTAGACGTGTCTGTGTTTGTCTTCATGGCGAGTGACAGTGGTGTGGTTCGCCGGCTGTGCTGCGTATCCGACGACCCGAGTTTGATTGCCGCTCATTGCCCAACATCGGCTATGGATATCCAAACTCGTCCGGGGCCTTAAATGGGCACCTGGTGCAGGGTGTGAACATCAGCACCGGGGAGGCAGAGGCTGTCTGGGAGATCTTTGTCTATTTTGTGTGATCCTTGCGTGGAAGTGAAGGAGAAACTGTGGCTGTGTGTGTGTGTGTGTAAAGGTTAATAACGTCATTTATTTACCTGGGAAAGCCTCGCTGAGCCTGACGACTCTATTCTTCAAAAGAGCCCTGTGATGGGATGTTTGGTCAATACTACTTTAATCCCAGGATGCAGCCCAGGATCCGAGAGTGGGGAGCTCTGTACGGCTCTGCTGGAGGATATTTGGTCGACTCTTCCACGCTCTGCCAGACATATTTGATCGAGGTGGCAGTTTCCCACGTTTGACCTCACCACGCACGACCCGCCTTTCAGCTGTGATGAACCCATTTGTACGGTGGAGACAGAGGTGGTGCGGCGGGGGTAGCGGGGTAGAGATTTAAGGATTTAATAAAATTGCCCAATGAGATGACCTGGTGGATCAGAGGTCAGAGCGCCAGCACTGCTGAGAGCCTGGATTCCAAACCGCCTGCGATTAAACCGCATTCTTAAATGTAGTGAATTGATAATTTCTGCGCCAGTAACCAATGACTTACATAGAGACCCAAAGACTCACATCGAGACCCATAGGCTCACATAGACGGACCTGTGTAGTGAGTCAATGGTCTCAGTCCAGTCGCTAATGCCTGCACACACACAAAAAAAAAAACTCGTCAAATAAAATTTGACTCTGGCTTACTTTGGTTGAATTCCATCTCTGATAATGAAAAAACATCAGTTTCCCTGCCACGCCATGCACATTGCTCTCAGTGGCTGGGCTGGTGGCAAAGTTCCGTGGTCCAGAGGTCAATTGAGGCTTCTCAGAGGTAGCTCAATGAAATCCATTTCTGCGGACCGTTCTTCAGCACGGAGGGTTGCACTGCTGTGCTATCCGTATGGACACTGTCTCACGACGAGGCGTCGATCGCACAATCAGAACATCGGGGAAAGAGACCTTCAATGAAGTGGACGTGTCCTCGTGCACAGGTTAATAACGTTATTAATATCTCTGGGAAAGCTCCCCTGAATCTAAACACTATTTTTCAGAAGGATCTTGCATTGGCATATTGAGCCAATGACCCTACATTTACAATGTGTTACAAGCATTACCATTTGCCGTACTGCTCAGCTCCCATGTTCCTCTCTGCTATACGCCTTCACCAAAGCCATACTGACCAGCATGGTGCATTATGGTCAAACAACCCCCAATAAACGCATGGCACGGGGAGGCCTTCAACCAGCAGTGGATTGAGAAAAATGGGCTGTACGTGTACATTTTACAAAAAAACCGCCGAAATTAACAAAATCGTCGGAATTGACATAATCATACTCTTTGGTTCTATTCGGTAAAGTCACGTAGGTAAAAAATAAAACAACAAAAAAATGTTGTTGTTTTATTTTTTACCTACGTGACTTTACCGAATAGAACCAAAGAGTATGGATCCTTGCAGTCACGAAAGCTTTAAATCTAGAATTGACATAATCACCCAATTGTTATTTTTTATTTTAAATCCCCGAACCGGCGCCACTGCCCTGAGCCCAGTTTGTCGCCGTTGCAGGAGTGGCCGAGGAGCCTGGGCCGAGCTCGGAGGCCCAGGAACTCCTGGAACGGATTTCTCCCGCCACGATCCATCTCCGCGGAATTGGATCGACGGACGTCCCAGAGGCGACGCCTTCGTCGCCGTCCGTGGAGAGGAAGAGAAGGGACAGCAGTTTCCGGAGGCTCCTCAACAAGTGAGGACCCCGGCAGCAAGTGTGATCCATTTTACAGACACCCCACTAAAATAGCGATCGCAGAAGGCGAAGGGGCCGCCCCTGAAATTGCTCACGCCACCGCTGGCGGGCGCGTGCCTTCACTCGAGGCAAGCCCGAACCTTCCTCTGGCGGATGTTTTGGCCCACTCTTCGACGCCAGCCGGACGCCTTGGAAGACGCGGAAGTACCGACGCTTTACCCCGCAGCTCGCGACCTGCCGATCGTAGGCAAACTGTGGCGTCCCCGTTTCTACTGCTGGGTGAACAGACGCAGAGGCGGGCGGATTTAAGAGACGTGCTTCACTGTTTAAACTGCCGTGCTGGGAGATTAAACCTGCGATCTCTGGTTTTGCAAGTCCAGGGTGCTATCCAAGATACAGAGATGATGTATGATGCCACATTGGCAGCGGGGCAAGTGGTGCTGTAAGCGAGCGCCTAGGAAGGCCAATGCAGACACGCGCGATATGACGCCACCTCCGATGTCCATCCACCAGGCTTAGGAAGACTCCGTCGCTGGGGCAGAACGGCGATGGCCTGACGCTGGGTGTCGAACTCAGACACAGGAGCTTTCGGGCCCCGCACTGCCGGTGGAGCTGGGCCCTGGACCCGCGCGCCTCCCATGGGTGAGAAGCGACTCACCCCTCACCCCTCAGCAGCCACCGTCAAACACCTACCCCTGCCTACAGCGAGTCAGCCAACCAGCCACTAGTGCCAGCTATAACTCTAACCAGATAGCCAACCAGATACTAGTGCCAGCTATAACCCTAACCAGATAGCCAACCAGCCACTAGTGCCAGCTATAACCCTAACCAGCTAGACAACCAGCCACTAGTGCCAGCTATAACCCTAACCAGATAGACAACCAGCCACCATCAAACACCTACCCCTGCCTACAGCGAGTCAGCCAACCAGATACTAGTGCCAGCTATAACCCTAACCAGATAGCCAACCAGCCACTAGTGCCAGCTATAACCCTAACCAGATAGACAACCAGCCACTAGTGCCAGCTATAACCCTAACCAGCTAGTCAACCAGTCACTAGTGCCAGCTATAATCCTAACAAGCTAGTCAACCAGTCACTAGTGCCAGCTATAACCCTAACCAGATAGCCAATCAGATACTAATGCCGGCTATAACCCAAACCAGCTAGACAACCAGTCACTAGTGCCAGCTATAACCCTAACCAGCTAGACAACCAGTCACTAGTGCCAGCTATAACCCTAACCAGCTAGTCAACCAACCACTAGTGCCAGCTATAACCCTAACCAGCTAGACAACCAGTGACTAATGCCAGCTATAACCATAACCAGCTAGTCAACCAGCCACTAGTGCCAGCTATAACCCTAACCAGCTAGACAACCAGTCAATAGTGCCAGCTATAACCCTAACCAGATAGTCAACCAGCCACTAGTGCCAGCTATAACCCTAACCAGCTAGTTAACCAGCCACTAGTGCCAGCTATAACCCTAACCAGCTAGACAACCAGCCACTAGTGCCAGCTATAACCCTAACCATCTAGACAACCAGCCACTAGTGCCAGCTATAAACCTAACCAGCTAGTCAACCAGTCACTAGTGCCAGCTATAACCCTAACCAGCTAGACAACCAGCCACTAGTGCCTGCTATAACCCTAACCAGCTAGACAACCAGCCACTAGTGCGGGCCCTGTTACTGACACGAGCCAACCTCCAGTGCTTAAATTCTATTTCGGGCCAACTGCTCTCTCAACGTCCACGTCTCTGATCCATTGAACAAGCCACCTGATCACGGGGATGCATCACCACCCGCGCCTCTTCCCTCCACAACCCCACCACCCGTGCCAAACGCCCTGTCTTGGCCGGGACAGCCACCAGAAAATTTAGCAAAAATCTGAATTTTCTTTTGTTTTCGACGTAATGTCCCGGTGGCCTCAACTCTCGACTGATCATTAGGACAATGGGCGGGACTAACTGAGCAGTGGGCGGAGCTACCTTAGTAGTGGGTGGGGGCTAGTTGAGTTGTGGACGGAGCTACCCGGACAGAGGGGCGGGGCTTCTTAGGGAATGGGCGTGGCTAGCTACGCAGCGGGCGTGGTTATGTAAAAGTGGGAAGGGCTGGTGCCTGCCAGCTCAACCACGTGTCCCCACGTTGAGCCTGCCATAAACGCGGTCGTTTTTAACTGTGCCACGTGCCACCTTCTCCCTTGCCGTGCCGTGCAGGGAGCTGGAGACCCCGTTCGCCAGCTGGGGTGTGGAGCAGGTGTGCGGCTGGCTCAGCGAGCTGGGCCTGGGCGCGTGCGTGGGCCTGGCGCGGCAGTGGGTGGTGCGAGGGGACACGCTGCTGCGGGCCACGCCGGAGGACCTGGAGCAGGTAGGCCGCGTGCACGCGCGTTCGTGCGTGCACGCGCGTGTGAATGGCATGTGCACACCCGGCAGCGTCATCGTAATCGGCGTCAAAGTACCACCCATCATTTGTTAAGCGTCAAATCATCGGACATGGGAGACAGGTGGCCTGACGTGGTGCTCACCACCACCACCACCCCCTTGTGTGCCCTAACAGCATTCGCAAGCTGCGCTTGGCCCAGCACACTATGTGTGTGTGCATGTCTGCAGGAGCTGGGGCTCAAGAACCCCCTGCACAGGAAGAAGCTCACGCTGGCGCTGCAAGCGCTCGGCTCCGGAGAGGCAGTGGGGACCGATGCCCTGCACCACACCTGGGTGATGCGTAAGCCCTGCACCACACCTGGGTGATGTGTAAGCCCTGCACCACACCTGGTGATGTGTAAGCCGTGCACCACACCTGGTGATGTGTAAGCCGTGCACCACACCTGGGTGATGTGTAAGCCGTGCACCACACCTGGTGATGTGTAAGCCCTGCACCACACCTGGGTGATGTGTAAGCCCTGCACCACACCTGGGTGATGTGTAAGCCCTGCACCACACCTGGGTGATGTGTAAGCCCTGCACCACACCTGGGTGATGTGTAAGCCCTGCACCACACCTGGGTGATGTGTAAGCCGTGCACCACACCTGGTGATGTGTAAGCCCTGCACCACACCTGGGTGATGTGTAAGCCCTGCACCACACCTGGGTGATGTGTAAGCCGTGCACCACACCTGGTGATGTGTAAGCCCTGCACCACACCTGGGTGATGTGTAAGCCCTGCACCACACCTGGGTGATGTGTAAGCCCTGCACCACACCTGGGTGATGTGTAAGCCCTGCACCACACCTGGGTGATGTGTAAGCCCTGCACCACACCTGGGTGATGTGTAAGCCCTGCACCACACCTGGGTGATGTGTAAGCCCTGCACCACACCTGGGTGATGTGTAAGCCCTGCACCACACCTGGGTGACACGTAAGCCCTGCACCACACCTGGGTGATGTGTAAGCCCTGCACCACACCTGGGTGGCACTGATGTTAGCCGTGGCTGGAGATAGAACCGAAGCCTCCCGGTTCCTCGTGCAGTGCGCTAACCACTGTGCCGCCACTCCCCCTGCACCCGTGTGTGTGGCTGCTGCTGCTGCTGTGCCCCAGGCTGGCTGGACGACGTTGGGCTGCCCCAGTACAAGGAGCAGTTCCATGAGGCACGCGTGGACGGGCGGATGCTGCACTACATCACCACGGTGAGCAACCACACTCTACCCCACCACCACCATACACCCCCGCACGAGACACCACCACAACCATGATACACCACCCACGATATAACACCACCATACTGTATACCACCATGATATAACATCGCCAACACCACGACACGCCACCACCGCATGACACTGCCACCACATGACGCCACCACCATGATACACCACCACCACCATGATACACCACCACCATGATACACCACCACTACATGACACCACCACCACATGACACCACCACCACATGACACCACCACCACATGACACCACCACCACATGACACCACCACATGACACCGCCCCCCCCACCTCCACGTTGACCGCCGCCTGTCTCTGTGCCCCACCAGGAGGACCTGCTGCTGCTCAAGGTCACGAACCTGCTGCACCACCTGAGCATCAAGCGTGCGGTGCAGGTGCTCCGACTCAACCACTTCCAGCCGGACTGCTTCATCCGCTCCGCCCCGGAGGTGAGGCTCAAGGGGGCATGCCCCCCCAACCCTCCGCCCCCCCACCGGGCAACCATCTCTTTTGACCCCCCATGCGCTCATTGCCACGGTCGCCCGTTCCCCCATCACCTACTTCAGAATCAGAGTCTATTGGCAACGGTATTTAGACGGGAGGAGGAATCTGATGGGCTGTGAAGCTCTTGTTCACGGGTGTCCAGTCGTGGCGAGTCAGCAAGTTACAACAACAGCATGGCACTTGCCCCGTGACCCGGCCGCCATATCACACCGTGCGCTTGTTCGCTCTCAAATGTTTTTTATGCGCAAGCATTGAACTTGTAAAGAACGTTCAGAGGGAGAAGCGACGGCAGAGAGAGAGCGGCAGTGGAGTCTTGAGATTCCGACAGAGGCGACGGAAGCATTGCCGACGTGCGGCACCCGGCAGAGAGGAGGAGGGAAGTGAATTCTGGAACCGTCGTTGGAGAGGCTCGGGCCTTGACGAGGAGGAGGGGGAGGGGGGAATGAAGGAGGAGGAGGCCGCTTAAGGCCGATCGGAGTTTGATGGACAGGACAGCAGAAGCCAAATATGCCGGCTATCCTGACTTAGTGGATTTGTCTCTGACTTCCTGGATCTTTCCTGAAGATGCTCGGCACAGTTGCAGATATTTGATTGCAGCTACATGTGGCTGTGAGGATTCTTCTGCAGCTCGCTGGGTGAGCGACCTGAAATGGTCCCAATTGGCGCGTCAATCGCTTGAGCACCGTGTCACGATTATCAGCTTGCTTGGCCCTGTCGGGTGGTGGAGGGTCTTGACGGCGCAAATTTTGTCCCAGATGATCACGTGGTGGTTGGCCTCACCCTGAAAGTTTGTCTTAAGTTGTTGTTGTGGTTGTTGCGGTTGTCGTTGAGGTTGCCGTACTGCTCCGGTAGCGTGTCTGTCGTGGTGAGCGCGTGGTTGTTGTGGGCGGCACGACGCCGCTAAGTCCGCCGCCGTCTCCGCCTCGGCAGGGCGCCGGAGAGGCGGGCGACGTGAGCCGGTGGCCCAACGAGCGAGTGATGCGCTGGCTCCGCTCCGTGGACTTGGGGGAGTTTGCGCCCAACCTTCGTGGGAGCGGCGTTCACGGCGGTCTCATGGTGAGCACGGCTACTGGGGGGAGGAGGTGGGGGAGGGAGGGTAGCAACTCCCATCGCGTGAACTTGTTAAAGGGGGTGGTGGGGGGGGCATACAACGGTACAGGGGGGCCGCAGCAGAGTGAACGGGACACGTCAAACGAATGTTGAACGCTAAGCGGACTGAGTGAAGAGGCGTCCTGCTCACGTCTGTCGTGCGTGACCCCCGGGCCACCGTTGCAAATGAGACTCTATCCTGGTCTCTTGAGATCTCATCCAGTTAAGTAACATCAACTCGGACATTTGAACCCGAACTCACTTGCTCACTCACCACGTCGCTCAATCAATTACCCGCTCACCCCACCCACCATCGCACAAAATCATTCGCCCACCCGCTCGCTCATTCACTCACCCACTCACGCACCCGGTCACTCACCCGCTCACCCTGGTCTCCTGAGCTGGTGAAACAAAATCAACTTGAGGCCTCTCCGGCCCCGTCATCCCCCCCTCGCGGCCACCACCGCCGCCACCCCCGTCGCAGATCTTCGAGCCGCGCTTCAGCGTGGAGACGCTGGCGAGCCTGCTGAGCATCCCGCCCGGCAAGACGCTGCTGCGCCGACACCTGAGCACCAGCTTCAGCCTGCTGGTGGGCCGCGAGGCGCAGCGGGACAAGCAGGCAGCGGCGGACGCCGACGGCTGGGCTCCTCTCTCCGTCAGCGCCAGGGTCAAGGTGAGCTCGCGGGGTGGGAGGGGGGGGAGGGTGGCCGGTACCACGCTCAGGTCCGCCTTTGTCTCCCCCGGTTGCTGATGTTTATGACTCACCGTATCAACCAGGTACACAGTTAAGGTTGAGTCGACTGAGGGGAGAAGCTTATCACTCATCTCCATTGGCCATTCCCTTCCTCTTCCCTCTCCTTGCCCTTCCATTCCGTCCCATCCCTCGCCTGTCGCCCTTCCGTGACCCCACGTGCCCTCTGCTACGGCAACTCACTCCACGGGCCCCTGCACGTCACCTGCCACCTATAATACTTTTTGTTACCGCTTTTTAACCTTTGTCATGAGCGGCTTGAGCCAATGTGCTCCATTAACATAAGATACGATGAGATAAGATAAGAGCGGGAGTCGAACTCGGCTCGCCGGCTGCGCCGCCGCTCCCCACTCTAAACGAAGACAAACACCGCCCCCCTTTGTGCTGCAGTCTCATAGACCGCAGGAGCAAGCGCTGTTAGCGAGCGCCTATTAAGGCCGGAAACACGCACGATGGGGTGGTGTGGCTGGCAATATTCTTGGCTGCCTTTGTCTTCACTGTACCCGGTACTCGTATGAAGCTGATTTGACCCAAAAGTTGCCCAGGACAGGTTGAGAGTGGCCATTGAATTGCATCTGTGCTGTTAAGGAGAGTTTTTATTTCTTATTTTTACGTCCAGCGCTTTGAGACATTTTGATATGAAAGGCGCTTTTTATAACAAGGATCATGGTTATTATTGTTGAAAGAAGAGCTTTTATCTCAAGGGGTTCTGCCCGAATTAAACTGACTGAATAATACAATTGCAATCGCTGCTTAGATCTTCCGAGATCTGACGGGGTCGGGCGCACTCCCCCCCCCCTCTCCTGCCCCCCCCCCCCCCCCCACCGAGCTTGCTTGCACCTGTACCTGACTTTTCCTGGCGCTTCTTGTTTTCATATTATACGTGCAGGTTTTAAAAATATATTTATTCACCTGCGTTTCGTTTGTGACCGTTAGGCACCTCGTTTGGTAGCCGTGCAATATCTCTTAACGTCCGCCGCTCTACTCGCTCCCTGTGCTATTCGATGTGTTTGCTTTTAGTTGCTGCTTCCAATAGTGCTGCTGCTGCCACTCTGCTCACGCAGCGCCACGGATCTTCCGTGTTCAATGTCTGGGCGACCGGCCGAGCGCGACGTTGATCCGCGTAACAAATCAAATAAACTCAACCCTCAAACCCCGCATCTCCGCCTGCTCATGGTCACGTGCCGATGTGTGCCGATGTGTGCCGATCGCCAGGCGCAGCGACGCCGCGGATTTGTCCGAGGGCGGCAGGAGACGAAGGGGGCGGCGGCGGATTTCACCGAATACCTGTGCCCCATGGAGCTGGGCTGGGGCCCCTCGCAGGGATCTCCCCCTGAGTCCCCTCTGTACGGACTCACGGGGACACCCCTCCGCAGGGGTCGCAGTCAGGATGAGCTGGACTGCATCGACGAGGTGAGAGCCACGTGACCGCTACCGCCACGGTCGCGCAACCGTACGGCTCTCTCTGACGCGCGTCTTCGGCGTCGTTGCCGTCGGGCACGATGTCCGACGTTTCGCGTCCGGGCAAACGGCTTCAATCGGCAACTTTACGAAGTTGTGGGTGATTGTGAGTTTGCTGGTCTCGGCCCAGTCGCGACAACGCGTGCGCTATAAATAAATAAATACGTGTACAAAAATCGTTCTTGCACGGAATTTGGATAAAGTCCATCAACGACTGCGGAATCAAAAAAATTGGTTTGGTTCGACGGCCACGTGACACGCGCTACCTCCAGTGGCAGCACGAGTGGGAAAGCGCTGCCCTCCCCCCTATGATGTAGACTAGAGGTTACTTGAAGGCATTCAGAAGTAGTTTTTTTTTTATCCGCTTCCGTGGGAAGTTTTATAAGAAGAAGGGTGGCACTGCTGTGCCGCTTGAGAGTTGGGGAAGGATTCTTCGCCTCGTTACGCCGATAGCACAATTATGGTCCAAAATAAATCGGGAAAACAAAAGTATGGGTCGTGTGTGGTGATGCCAGTCAGTTGACGATTCCATGCACAGGTCAGTGGCAATGTCACGACGTGACATCGTCATCACGAGTTAATAGTGACGACGACGACGACGATGATGATGTGAATAGAGATGATGCCATACTTTGGCCAATGCCAATGGTGCGACGATGCCACACATGGGATGATGATGGTGATGACGACGACGACGATGATGATGATGACAATGCCACTAATTTGATTGTTTTTGTTTGTTTAAATCGTGATGGCTAAGCACTGGGCCAAAGGCACAAAGCGGCAAGGGGCCAGCAGCAAACAGCACGATGACAGTTTCAATGGCTAAGCGTTGATACGTTTCTTGAATTAATTTAGGTTATTATAATAACTTGGGGAAAGAGGACAACAATAATAATGATGATACCACTTCCTTGGCGATGCCGTTCACGCGACGATCAGCACTCTCTCTCACGATGTCCTCCCTCTACGCCGTCCCCACTCCTCACCCACAACCCCCCCCTCCCTCCACGTCGCCCGGTCTCACCAGACAGGGAGCTCCGAGTCGGTGGTGAGGAAGTTGGGGGAGTTCTCACACGACATCGAGAACCTGACGACGGTGAGCACACAACCAGGCCGATTCGCCCGATCATATATACATGCATGACACATATATACGTGCACGACACACATATATACATGCATGACACACGTAGATACATGCATGACACACGTAAATACATGCATGACACACATATACACATGCACGACACACATATACACATGCATGACACATATTTACATGCATGACACACATATACACATGCATGACACACGTATACACATGCACGACACACATATACACATGCACGACACACATATACACATGCATGACACACGTATACACATGCATGACACACATATACACATGCATGACACACATATACACATGCATGACACACATACATTGAGGGAAACAAGTATTTGATCTCCTGCTGATTTTGTACGTTTCCCCACTGACAAAGAAATTATTAGTCTATAATTGTAATGGTAGATTCATTTGAACTGTGAGAGACAGAATTAACAATAAGAAAATCCAGAAAAACGCATGTCAAAAATGTTATAAATTGATTGGCATTTTAATGAGGGAAATAAGTTTTTGACCCCCTCTCAATCAGAAAGATTTCTGGCTCCCAGATGTCTTTTATACAGGTAACGAGCTGAGATTAGGAGCACACTCTTAAAGGGAGTGCTCCTAATCTCAGCTTGTTACCTGTATAAAAGCACCTGTCCACAAAAGCAATCAATCAATCAGAATCCAAACTCTCCACCATGGCCAAGACCAAAGAGCTCTCCAAAGATGTCAGGGACAAGATTGTAGACCTACACAAGGCTGGAATGGGCTACAAGACCATTGCCAAGCAGGTTGGTGAGAAGGTGACAACAGTTGGTGCGATTATTCGCAAATGGAAGAAACACAAAAGAACTGTCAATCTCCCTCGGCCTGGAGCTCAATGCAAGATCTCACCTCGTGGAGTTGCAATGATCATGAGAACGGTGAGGAATCAGCCCAGAACTACACGGGAGGATCTTGTCAATGATCTAAAGGCAGCTGGGACCATAGTCACCAAGAAAACAATTGGTAACACACTACGCCGTGAAAGACTGAAATCCTGCAGCGCCCGCAAGGTCCCCCTGCTCAAGAAAGCACATATACATGCCCGTCTGAAGTTTGCCAATGAACATCTGAATGATTCAGAGGATAACTGGATCAAAGTGTTGTGGTCAAATGAGACCAAAATGGAGCTCTTTGGCATCAACTCAACTCGCCGTGTTTGGAGGAGGAGGAATGCTGCCTATGACCCCAAGAACACCATCCCCACCGTCAAACATGGAGGTGGAAACATTATACTTTGGGGATGTTTTTCTGCTAAGGGGACAGGACAACTTCACCGCATCAAAGGGACGATGGACGGGGCCATGTACTGTCAAATCTTGGGTGAAAACCTCCTTCCCTCAGCCAGGGCATTGAAAATGGGTCGTGGATGGGTATTCCAGCATGACAATGACCCAAAACACACGGCCAAGGCAACAAAGGAGTGGCTCAAGAAGAAGCACATTAAGGTCTTGGAGTGGCCTAGGCAGTCTCCAGACCTTAATCCCATAGAAAATCTGTGGAGGGAGCTGAAGGTTCGAGTTGCCAGACGTCAGCCTCGAAACCTTAATGACTTGGAGAAGATCTGCAAAGAGGAGTGGGACAAAATCCCTGCTGAGATGTGTGCAAACCTGGTGGCCAACTACAAGAACCGTCTGACCTCTGTGATTGCCAACAAGGGTTTTGCCACCTAGTACTAAGTCATATTTTGCAGGGGGGTCAAATACTTATTTCCCTCATTAAAATGCACATCAATTTATAACATTTTTGACATGCGTTTTTCTGGATTTTTGTTGTTGTTATTATGTCTCTCACTGTGCAAATAAACCTACCATTAAAATTATAGACTGATCGTTTCTTTGTCAGTGGGCAAACGTACAAAATCAGCAGGGGATCAAAAACTTTTTTCCCTCACTGTATACACATGCATGACACACGTATACACATGCATGACACACGTATACACATGCATGACACACATATACACATGCACGACACACATACAGTGAGGGAAAAAAAGTATTTGATCCCCTGCTGATTTTGTACGTTTGCCCACTGACAAAGAAATGATCAGTCTATAATTTTAATGGTAGGTTTATTTGAACAGTGAGAGACAGACTAACAACAATAAAATAAAGAAAAACGCATGTCAAAAAAGTTATAAATTGATTTGCATTTTAATGAGGGAAATAAGTTTTTGGCCCCCTCTCAATCAGAAAGATATCTGGCTCCCAGGTGTCTTTTATACAGGTAACGAGCTGAGATTAGGAGCACACTCTTAAAGGGAATGCTCCTAATCTCAGCTTGTTACCTGTATAAAAGACACCTGTCCACAGAGGCAATCAATCAATCAGATTCCAAACTCTCCACCATGGCCAAGACCAAAGAGCTCTCCATGGATGTCAGGGACAAGATTGTAGACGTACACAAGGCTGGCATTGGCTACAAGACCATTGCCAAGCAGTTTGGTGAGAAGGTGACAACAGTTGGTGCGATTATTCGCAAATGGAAGAAACACAAAAGAACTGTCAATCTACATCGGCCTGGGGCTCCATGCAAGATCTCACCTCGTGGAGTTGCAATGATCATGAGAACGGTGAGGAATCAGCCCAGAACTACACGGGAGGATCTTGTCAATGATCTCAAGGCAGCTGGGACCATAGTCACCAAGAAAACTATTGGTAACACACTACGCCGTGAAGGACTGATATCCTGCAGCGCCCGCAAGGTCCCCCTGTTCAAGAAAGCACATATACATGCCCGTCCGAAGTTTGCCAATTAACATCTGAATGATTCAGAGGACAACTGGGTGAAAGTCTTGTGGTCAGATGAGACCAAAATTGAGCTCTTTGGCATCAGCTCAACTCGCCGTGTTTGGAGGAGCAGGAATGCTGCCTATGACCCCAAGAACACCATCCCCACCGTCAAACATGGAGGTGGAAACATTATGCTTTGGTTTGTTTTTTTCTGCTAAGGGAACAGGTCAACTTCACCGCAACAAAGGGACGATGGACGGGGCCATGTACTGTCCAATCTTGGGTGAGAACCTCCTTCCCTCAGCCAGGGCATTTCAAATGGGTCGTGGATGGGTATTCCAGCATGACAATGACCCAAAACACACGGCCAAGGCAACAAAGGAGTGGCTTAAGAAGAAGCACATTAAGGTCCTGGAGTGGCCTAGCCAGTCTCCAGACCTTAATCCCATAGAAAATCTGTGGAGGGAGCTGAAGGTTCGAGTTGCCAAACGTCAGCCTCGAAACCTTAATGACTTGGAGAAGATCTGCAAAGAGCAGTGGGACAAAATCCCTCCTGAGATGTGTGCAAACCTGGTGACCAACTACAAAAAACGTCTGACCTCTGTGATTGCCAACAAGGGTTTTGCCATCAAGTACTAAGTCATGTTTTGCAAAGGGGTCAAATACTTATTTCCCTCATTAAAATGCAAATCAATTTATAATATTTTTGACATGCGTTTTTCTGGATTTTTTTGTTGTTATTCTGTCTCTCACTGTTCAAATAAAGCTATCATTAAAATTATAGACTGATCATTTCTTCGTCAATGGGCAAACATACAAAATCAGCAGGGGATCAAATATTTTTTCCCTCACTGTATACACATGCATGACACACATATACACATGCATGACACACGTATACACATGCATGATACACATATACACATGTATGACACACGGATACACATGCATGACACACGTATAAAAAAACATACATGCACGCATACGCACGTGCATGCGCGCGCATACGCACGTGCATGCGCGCACATACGCCCGCACACGTGCTTAGGCACACATATGCAAATGCTCGCACACACAAAGACAAAGATCCCCCATGCAGCCTTCACAGACAGCCGGCACGGCGCGCGGCGCACGAGCGGGTGGGTGGGCGGTTGGCCAACAGCGCACCCGGCCAGGCTATCGTCTCACTCTGCTCGCCCGCGAGCAGAGCCAGAGGGCGGCTCGGGGATGGGGGTGCGCTGTGGTGCAGTCGGGGGGGGGGGGTGTAAGTGGTGGGACAGGTGTTAGGCCAACGCGATTGGTATTCATCGAGCATCAGAAATGTGTGCCTACGGCATTCTGCTTTCACCTCTATTACCGCGCGTGCGTGCACGTGTCGCTCGCGTGTCGCTCGCGTGTCACACACCGCGGGCTCCCATTGCGCTCGCCGCTTGCCAAGGCCGCTCGCTAATGTTCCGCCAGCGATCGTCGACATCGCCGGGATCGAGGTCGCTCCACACCCCTTGAGCCAGGGTCGTAACTCGCCCCCACCGCCACTACCACGACCCCCTCCCCATGCCTTTGGGCTCCTACACCAGCACCCCCCACACTCTCCCCGACCCTCCCCCTACCACTCCCCCCCCCCCACCTCTGGGTTTAGCAATGTCGTGCCGAGCGAGGATGATGAACGATACGCGTAACGGGGATCAGCCGCTCGGTACTGGCGCTCTGCGGCCGTGACGGAGCGTGAGCGTACGTGACGCGCGCGTGTCGCGCGTCAGCAGCGGGGAGACAAAGGCGGCCGGGCGCGGTTCTGGCCACCCACCCCCTCGTGCGCCGTGGGGCGGCCTTCGTTGGTGCCGCTGCAGCGATGATCGCTGGCGGCGACCTTTGCCTCTGTGGCCGTGTACGGGTAGCAGCGACTCGAGTTCGATTCCCGACCACGGCCAACGGCAGTGGCGATTATCTAAGCTGGCCCTGGCGTTTCCCCCTAGGTCGACTCAGCCTCAAATGGGTACCTGTGGTGCGGTGTGTTCACACTATCGGTGCAGGGGAGGCAACGGTGGCCGGGCGCGTTTCTGGCTGTCGCACCCCCCATCATGCGGTGGCCTGGCCTTAATAGGCGCCCGTTAACCTTTGTCTCTCTCTTGTGTGTGCGTGTGTGTGCACGTGCTTACATGTGTGTGTGTGCACGTGCTTACATGTGTGCGTGTGCACGTGCTTACATGTGTGCGTGTGTGTACGTGCTTGCGTGTGTGCGTGTGTACGTGCTTGCGTGTGTACGTACGTGCGTGTGTGTGCGTGGTTGCGCGTGCATACGTGTGTGCTTGTGGTGTGGGCGTCTGTGTGACCATGTCTTTGTGTTTACGTGGGTCGACTCAGCCGAGGTCTAGATCGACTCAGCCTTAAATGGGTAGCTGGTGCGGTGTGTGAACATCAGCATTGGGGAGACAAAGGCGGGCGGGCGCGGTGCTGGCCACACACCCGCTCGTGTGCCCTGCCGTGCCGGCCTTCGAAGGTGCTCGCTAACAGCATTTGCCCCAACCGTCTGTGCAGACTATATGGGGGATCTTTGCCTTTGTTTTGTTTATATAAATATGCGAGCGCGTCACTGTGTTAGCGTATGCGCGCGTTCAATTATGTACGTGCATGCATGCGCATTTCCTTTGTTTTAAAGCACGGTTGCTGTGCATGGACACAAAACACAATCCAAAAACGCCAAGGGACCAGCAACAAAAAGCACATTTGACAGCGTAAATCGATGAGAGCGAATTAATTTCTCGAGCGTACGAACGCGCCCACCGCATTCACGCCGTATAACCGTTGCCCTACTCTCTCTCTCTCTGTCTCTCTCTCTTCCTCGCTCTCTCCCCCGGCCATAGAGCCTGTTGCACGAAGACTGATTCTCACGCTGGGAGGAACACGATCGCGGGGAGATGCGGCGAGCCCTTGCCGCCGGAACAAACAGATCGTTCGCTGCTCGCCAACGTCTCCCGCAGCCAACACACTCTGTCAGTGAGCGGCGGGGGTCGAGAGGTCACGCCCGACCGCGCCGCGTGCGCTAACAAGATGACCCTGCTCACTGCTTCCGCTGTGCGCGACGCCCAACGGCGGTTATGTCCAAACGGACCAGACTGGGCCCCGCCATGGGAATGTGGAATTGCCGCACCCTGGAAGGGCCCCCACTTGAGACACCTCCACAGAGTGACCCCCCACTTCGATTAGCACGGTTGGCTTCGACATACGTATGTACACACAAGGTATTTTTGGCCGACTCTTACACGGTGGCCAGATGTCTCGGGAGATTTAGGGAACGGGGTCCCCGTCGGGGTCAGTTGCCGCTCCGGGAGATCGTATCGACCCCCGACCCCCGCGGCCACTTCTGAACCGCAGCTCGCCGGTAGGAGCCACTTAGAATTATCGCCAATTTTTCTGTTGTTTCTCGTACGATGAACTTTGAACGGATATTATCGACGTCGCAGATGTTTTTTTAAACACCGTCAAACATTGATCGTGTTGGCGAGGCGCAGGCTTGCGCGACGAAGCTTGTTCACGCGCCGGGTGGAGAAGAGACGCGCACCTCCCGCGAGCATCCGGCGCCTCCACTTTATTAATGGATTCATGGGCGCGTAGCAACAGCAGTGGCATACAAATGTGATCTCGGCTCACACTCACGTGCCACCTCCCCTCCATCCCCTCACCCACCCTCCTTCCAAGCCTGTACACGCTGCTGGGTCAATAGCTTTTAGCGAGCGCCTATTAAGGCCGGCATAGCAGGATTGGTGACGGATTCCGAGACGCGTCATTCCTAATTGCGTCAGCGCGCCGAACCGGCTACTCTTTCATTTCGTGCCGAGTCCACTTTAGGGTGGGACAAACGAGGTATCGTGTGCCAGGTGAAGCGATCGTGTAACGGTTAGCGCGTTGCACTACGGATCTGGTCGACCCGAGTTCGATTCCCGCTCACGGCCTACACCATTGACGATTATCTGAACCGGTCCTGGACCACCCCTAGGTCGACTCAGCCTGAAATGAGTACCTGGTGCGGTGTCAAATACGAACCGACACTGGGGAGACAAAGGCACCCGGGCGTGGTGCTGGCCACCCATCCGTAGGTGCTCGCTAACAGCACTTGCCCCAACAGCCTTTAAGGCTACACGGGGAATCTTTGTATTTATGGAGCGGCGGCGCCCTGGTTAGCGCACTTGCGCTATGAAGCAGTTGGTCAGTTGCATGAAGCGTCTGAAGTGATATTGTCTCCTAGTTGGCACCGTGCATCATCGTGAACTAAGGGGGCGTTCTACTTCAGGATTATTTTTGCATCAATTTTACGTCACTGGCCACTGATGCGGAGTGTAATCATCAGCATTGGGGAGACAAACGCGGCCAGGCGTGCGCGGTGCTGGCCACCCACCCCACTTCGCGTTCCACGCCGGCCTTGATTGGTGCTCGATAACAGCGCTTGCCCCCAAAGGTCTGTTCAAGGCTACGCGGGGGCCCTTTGTCTTTGCGCGTCGACTGCGCCAGCCTGCCAAAGGAATCGGCGGCACCTTTTGTCTTCCGTGCACGCGACCAGGCATTGAACCCGGCCAGCCGGGCCCGCGGCGCAGTGCTGCGTGGCGCTTTAATAACCGCGGTTATGCAAATTCAATCTCGGAGGCGCAGGGCGAAAAACACATCGCCCGTGACTATATTTAGCGCCGCTCACGACGCCGCTATCCGGTGGAGAGAACATCGTGTTTAATTAATGCAAGGAGGGCTCGCGGCGGGAAATTCATCGTGCGGGGGTCGTGCCGGGCGCGGCTCGTGGTGCCGGAGGGGATTGGGGGGCTCGATGATCGGCGCTCGCTCGCTGCGACCGTTAAAACGAACCTCGCATTAAAATACATCGAGCGTGAAGTTTACTTTTCCCCGCTCTGCTGATCCGACTCGCGCTTATATTCCGACAAAGTGCCTTGTTGGGGGTTTTAAATCATAATTATTATAATCATTATTATTGTCCGTACCAAGTTGTTAGATGTGCGCGGATCGCTGTCCGGCACCGTCAACGGTGCTGAACCAAGCAAATCATAAATTGTTCACGTTTTGTTCATCGCGTGGCAACTCTATTTGTTTGGCTGCGTCGGGTGGCAGAGGGTGCACGACACAATACCTCGGTATTATTTTTATTTTTGACTCCGGACTACAAAATCACTTACGAATCATAATGTCGCGTTGGAAAAATGACGTTAAAATTCCGTGTTGTGTTCGTTCCGTTGGCTATAATCGGGGCTTGGTTACAACCAAGGGAGCTGTGCGGTGCCAAGCTCCAGAAAGTCTCTCCCTGCCCCTCCACTCCTCGTCAGCAGGCAGGGTTGGGGGCATGGTCTGGGGAGTTTGGCGCCCCATAAAATGTGAAATTAGAATCAAGGCCCGCTTATAATTAAATTATAATAAATGCCTGCTTATAATTTCATTATAATCAAGGCCTGCTTAAAATTAATCGGTGCCGAGATATTCACGCTGCAATTAGATAACGACATTGCCCAGAGTGGGGGTGGGTGGGGGCAGGGTGGGTCGCAGTGCATCACCCTGCGGAAGATGATAATGTCAGGTGACATTAGGAGCACGACGTGTATACCCCCTTGCAAGAGCAATTGCCGCAAGCCAAACCCATATCGCTTCAGTCATCAGAGCTGGAACCAGGCGAATTACGTGACACACCATTTAAACGGGGAGATTATCAGACGGAGACTATTGAGACACTGCGCTGGAGAACCTGGTTTAATCACAACTTGGTCTGTGTGATTATATGGTCTCTGCGAGTCTATGGGCTCTGCGTGAGTCTATGAGTCTCTGTAAATCACTGGATCTCTATGTGCGTCTATGGTCATTGTGAGTCTGGGTCACTGTGTGAGTCTATGGTCTCTATGTGAGTCATTAGGTCTCTGTGAGTATATGGTATATGTAAGTCTTTGGGTCTGTGTGAGTCTGAGTGGATGTGAGTCATTGGATCTCTTTGAGTCTTGAGTCTATCTAAGTCACTGGATCTCTGTGTGAGTCAATGGTCTCTGTGCGAGTCTATGGTCTGTATGTGAGTCATTGGATCTCTATGTGAGTCATTGGGTCTTTGTGTGAGTCTTTGAGTCTCTGTGCATCTTTGGGTATCTGTGCGAGTCTGTGGTCTCTATGTGAGTCATTGGATCTCTATGTGAGTCATTGGGTCTTTGTGTGAGCCTTTGAGTCTCTGTGCATCTTTGGGTCTCTGTGCGAGTCTGTGGTCTCTATGTGAGTCATTGGATCTCTATGTGAGTCATTGGGTCTTTGTGTGAGTTTTTGAGTCTCTGTGCATCTTTGGGTCTCTGTGCGTTTCTGTGGTCTCTATGTGAGTCATTGGATCTCTATGTGAGTCATTGGATCTCTATGTGAGTCATTGGGTCTTTGTGTGAGTTTTTGAGTCTCTGTGCATCTTTGGGTCTCTGTGCGTTTCTGTGGTCTATATGCGAGTCATTCGATCTCTATGTGAGTCATTGGATCTCTATGTGAGTCATTGGGTCTCTATGTGAGTCATTGGCGACCTGGTTGAGATCGACTCGCTACACTCGAGCACCTCCGATTAGCACGGTTGAATACGTGCGGTTCGAAATAATTCCAACATGCATAGTGTGCATACAACCTGACTCTTCCGTATGGAAATGTTATTGCAACCCATGATTCTGAGCGGTGCTGGCTCATTGTCGCCGACATGGCCACGATGAGCCCCCCAACTGAGCCACGTGACGACCTCCGAGCAGTGGTCGCAAAATGAGCCGACAGGCGCATCTCACAAAGCGTGGGGCTCGGTAAGAGATGAGCTCCAACAACAATAATAATAATGACCATTTAGTCAAAGATACATTCTGCAAGGCTATCCACGAAGGTGGGCTCCGTGTTTCACACATGCCAGCATGGAGGAGATGTCACCAACATTGTTTTATCCAATTAAGTAATTTGTGGGTAATATTTGGCAAGGGCCCGTTATGCCTGTGAATCAGACCGCGCGCAGTGTTTCATGGTTAATATTCACCCGCAGTAATAACCACCCCACCACCACCCAGCCGCTCACTCACTCACCCACTCATCTACTCACCCACCCATTCACCCACTCACCGAGCCACACACCCACTTGGCCACCCATCCACTCCCTGGCCCACGCAGTCACCCACCCACCCGCTTGCCACTCTTCCTATTCAATTCGCGTCACGGGCTCTTTAAGGTTCTCTGTGAAGCAGGCGGACCGAGGACATCTGCGACAAGCGGCGATCGTCATCATCATGGCAGCAGCAGCGACAAGGCAAGGCTTGGCTTCAAACATCCAGCACTTTTATTTGAACATAGAAAACGAGAACAGTCTTGGTTCGTTTTATTGTCTACACAAGGCGCGACATGTGCACGATCACCGTTCCAACCCCTAAAAAAGATACCCGTCATCCCTCCCCCCCTCCCCCAGTGCCCCCCAACCCCACCCCCCACAATACACCCCACCTAACCCCTCCTGTTACACAGATTTGCCACATCTCACGACGGGATTGAAGACAAGGGAGCCAAACAATGTTTGAGAATCGTACCGGGGATTTAATTTCAGCCACACCCGGCACAGCACATCCAGTATACCCCCTCTCGATATCCACGTGGCTACTGCTAGTCACGTGTCACCTATTTAAGTCTACCAACGACCCGGAAAATGTCTTCCCGCCCGGAACACCGCATCCAGTATACCACATCGCTATGGATGTGGCTGCTGATCACCTGCCGCCTACTCCAGCCTTCCAACGAGTCGGAAATGTTTTCACACGGCACACTACATTCAGTATACTATCTAAATATGGCTGTGACTACTGCAAGTCACCTGCCCACGTACTTCAATCTCCCAGCGAGCCGAGGACTCGGGTACATAGAAGATGTGCACATGTTACAGGGGCCGTCATTCTCAACACCGAGAGCCCCGTCATAGCAACGTGGAATTTCCAACCACTGAGAGTATTTTTTTTGTAACTTGCCGACCCGCCCCTGCTGGATATCTGTGGGAAAAAAAGAGCTCAATAGCTCATCGGATTCCTCCTCCAGCCTCAATAGAAGTTGTGATTCTGAGAAACACCCACGCGGAATGATACCTGCATACAAGCGAGCTTCACTGATGCAGCGTCCAGCCAACCGTGGGGCCGAGGTGGTGGTCACCCCCTCAACCCCACCCACCTTGATGAGACCCCTCCCCCCCCTCCCCCCAAGTTATTGATATTTCCCAGAGAATATTACTCGATTGATTTTTGTTAAATGTAGGGCCCTATTTATATAGCTTAACATTTCTGGCTCTCACCCCGAACCCCCACCTTCATCCCCCTCCACTCTCCCAGCCCTACTCCCTCTTCTTGGGAAGTTTCTATTACCGCCTCTGTGCCTTTATGCACAGATAAAGACAAAGGTTCCCCGTATAGCCTTAGCAGACTTTTCGAGCAAGTGTCTCGCTTGCTGCAGACACATACACACAATTCCCTGCGCGATCTGATGGCGCACACACACACCTGCATTCTCAATACGCAGTACATTACTACATATGCATGTACACACACACACAGCTCTCACAAAAGTCAGCTTGCCCTATGCTGTGATTTTCTGTTCTAATGCGGTGTTAACACTGACCCTAGCAGGTGACAGTCGTGTTTAAGTGAGTATTACACATTAGGCATGCAGCGACTTCCTTCGCAGCGATTAGGCGAAGTTACAGTTCTGCATTCAGATTCCAAGGCCACGATTTAAAAACGAAAATTATATTTTAGTTTTATCTTTTTAACTCATTTTTTTTACCGTCTCTTTTGTGGTGTTCTCTCTCTCTCTCGGGGTTTTTTCTCGCGCCGTTAGTCCGAATGGAAACACTGCGACAATACCACGGCGATATCCACGGGTCAATCTCAGCCAGAGCTGTCTCGGGCTGAGCTACAGAAAAAAATGCCCCCCTCCCCCCCTTCCCCTGCTGCTATCGGGGAGTAGG